ATGCCTGCCTGCTTTAAATCGCAAAGATCTGAGGGACACTGCTACTGCGCGTGACATTCTGAGACATAAGTTGATAAATAAGGAATTCACAAGTTTCATGTGCTTGTAATTTCACCTGCACCTTTACCCTTCAAAACCAGAACGCTAGACCTTAAGACGCTCGCTAGACCCTTCAATTCACTGTATTTACGGATCTTGGTTGGAATACGTAAATTTTTTCATGTCATTTCTTATTGACCTGGAGAGTCTTTCTCCACTTTCTTAATTCCGTTTCCAAATTTCATTTATATAATAAGTTTCCCCGTTTTAAGAACAAGTCAAAACACTTTGTAAGTGGCTTAAACGCTAACCGCGAAAAGTCAAGAAAGAAGAAAAAGTACACATTGATTTAAACTTTCACGATTTTAACACATTACAGTAATACCCCGCTTTGCGCGACCCCGCATTGCGCAATTTCGTTACAACGCGATTTTAAAAATTCGCGCTAAATTTCTCTGCTTGACGGGGAGGCATTGATTTAGTCAATTTGAACCCATAGCTTCTCAGTTACTAAATGTGCATTGTCACAGGTAGTTTTTTCTTGGTAGGACCTTTAATTTGTAATCACATTGGCACTGTCTGTTATCCAGTGAATTGTAAAAGACAATTTTTACGAACAATGACGCCACCGCTAAGAAAAAAGAGCGTAAGACTGGAGACGAAGATAAAAGTTTTAGAAAAGATGGGTTCGTTGGAATAGTACGTTCGTTACAATATTCAGCTGTTTATTCGATCATACCCCGCTTTATTTCTGGTAGCAGTCGTTAGGTCAAGTTAAAGACCCTAAGGCGACCAAAAAACTATAGTACCAGGCAGGCCACACAAACAAAGAACAACCCCGTTTTATGCGAATTTCGCTTACCGCGATTTTGTCCGGAATGCATTCCTTGCGTAAAGCGGGATATTACTGTATTTCATTTTAAAAATCGGGACTTAATCGCGTATAAACATACTTTATTTAAATTGACTGCAAGTCCCATTCTGTCCCATCGTGACCGTTTCAACATGTCCAAATTATTATATAAATACTTATACGCGAGTAAATTCTTATTTTTTTTAAATAAAATAAAAAACGTCTTGGAAGTAATACTTGAAAATAAGATAAAAACTGCATAATTATCAAAGTGTGTCTGTTATTGACTTCTCGAACGATAGGTTTTGCATCGTATCAAACAGTCAATGTTAAGTTATCAATGGTGTTGTTTTATACAGTTATAGTAATATAACCACTTACGTCGTTTATTCAGGGTGATAGAAACAGAGTCCGTCCCGTTCTCGTTTTTCTCTGCAACGTGAACGTGCAGTACGCTGAAGTCTTCCAAAGTTTTAGTTTTGTCGTTAGAAGCATTTTCGTCTTTCATATATTGTTCTGCAGTTAAAAAATATTACAAATGTATCTTTAGTTACAGTTTTTCGTAGTTGTTCGCTTCGGGGCACTACCCAGAACACCCACACCAGACCCAATTCAAAAAAGTTAATTACCAGACCCAATTTAGAAAAGTTCATTTCTTAAATTGGTCTTACTCGGCATCGTATCCGGAATCGCCTCGTTCAGTGCCTATAGTGCAAACCGTTGGGCCATCGAGGTATCAACTGACTGTTATAAATCGATAAATTGAAGTGTTTAGACGATGAGTAACCTAAACAATAAGACGCTTCCCCGAGCAAATGACCTTGAGCATTCGGGCCCCTCTACCGGCACCACCTCTACAATCTTTCGTAAAACTTTACTCACGCCATCTAGCGAATGACGCGAGTAGCAGCAAGCAACCAATCATACGCGGGACGTGGGCGGAGCTTATTTTAAAGGATTCAGATCTCTAATAACATGGAAAATAGTTTTTTAACCCGTAAGGTGGTTCACAAATTAATGGTCGCGGCTATTTAAGTTCGAAATTCTGTTTCTGTGAGAAGTTTACTTTGTGTGGGGATACCAAAAATAACAGATTCAGATTTAAGATAATGCAAATTTTTCATCAATTTCAATATACATATAATATTATGCCAAGTATTAGATAACTTTTACTACTAGTGGCAAGTCACCAGAGGAGAAGCGGCAAAAACTGTTTTGTTACATGAAATGGTTTAGGTATTTACTATTAAATAACGGTCTTACGAAAAATATACGATACTCCTAAGGATATTGTCTAAAAAATGTGCTAATTTGTTACGCGACAGGAAGTGCATTACCCGATCATGTAAAATCCTAAAGACAAAGTTTTAAACTATCTTAAAGAGAGATATTTCGTTTTAAGTACTGCAGAGAACCTGTTGAACTTTGGTTTTCAATTGTTATTAAATTCACATTTATCCCCACATTTGAAAATTGCCCAGCGGTTTATCAACACGCCGCGGCGCCCGCTGCCCCGTCAGTTGCCATCGGGAGCTTATCGTTTTCGGATCTGTTTCAAATTTTTTTCGCCTGTTCTAAGTGACGGGACGAATAAGTCGTGAGCTAAGTGGTAAGCGATACGCCTATCCATAACAGATGCAGTGCCACTCAGAGCTTTACATAGCAAAGATCTAAAGGGCACTGCCGCTGCGCCTGTCACCCTGAGACATAAGTTGACAATTCCCGTGTGCCTGTAATTTCACCAGCACCCTTATCCTTCGAAACCGGAATGCAGTAATGCTCACTCTACTGCTTGGCAGCAGAAATAGGTAAGGTAGCAGTACTTCCCTGGACGAACTCTTTCACAAACTCTACAGTTACTAAAATTTATACTTTAGAACGTGACGTTGTTAGCGTAGTATGCAATCCTGCATATGACTTTGTAAAATAGACGCAACTAAAATAATAATGTGCAGAGATCGTTAATGGGCAAACGTCCGGGTTAACACCCGAAATCGAGGGCAAAAACTATTTCCAACTAAATACTTACAAATCGAGTTTTGTTCAAATGTAATGATATTATTACAAAATGTTTATTGCTTGCTTACATATTTTCAATGTTTTTGCTCCGTTCGGCAACACCGACGACGCTGCTGTACCTGTCGCGACTATATTACTCCACGAAGTCTGAGGAGATAGTGGAGTACATCAGGCTAAAAGCCTAATACACCCTGAGGGTCGAGCGGTTGGAGTCCCGCCACAACGTAAATTTTATTTCATTTGTGGTGACAGTGTCGACCGAACATCTGTCGGCCTCCATGACGGAAGAGTTTTGGCCGAAGGGTGTCATATATCGGCGATTCCGCGGCCGGTTACCTGACACCAGATTGCGCCACACGTCGCCGACAAGTGCAATACGTGTACATTAGTTGTTTAGTTTATTTTATTGTCATATTATATTGCATGTATGTTAGTCCTTAAGGTATATATTATATGGGTCATATGGCCTGAAATAAATGTCTAAATAAAAAAAAAACACATTTTTATTGAATAGATTCACTTGAAAATCGCATTGAAATGAATCGACACATAAAATCGTTAAGCGTTTAAAAATAAAAATCGAATCGTAATGCATCCCGGGTAACAAGTGAGAATCCGCAAGATTGCAAGGTGAGGATTTGCCTCTTTTTCGTCTATAAAAGATTTTTTACAACGAAATTCCCAATAAGTATGGCTTATTCCTAATAAGTATAAATTCATAATATACCATCTTACTATTATTTTACGCATATAGTGGTCTTCGCCCTCGATTTTGGGCAGAAACGGGTTAAAACTTGGGTGGATTGATTGGGTTTAAACTTAGTGCCCATCTCTGATAACGTGAGAACCCTACGGTCTGAACGAAGACGCGACGTGTAGGCATTGAGGCGGGAGTTGCACTACCTGTCTTACATACTTCTTTTTTTAATACATATTACAATATACACTGGCAACATTGTAAGGTGTCATTTGTAACACTGCGTAGACACTACCTATACTACAAATTTGGCAGACACTTGGAGGCTCTGTACTCCGATGACATCTACTGCATTTAATTGTACGGCAGTTTTTTTTCGTGCGAGTCATAAAAAGTCCTGGATCTACATACCTAATTCCGAATGAAGTTGCTGGAGCAAGTTAGGCTTATGAACGAGTTTCCAACGGCCATCTTCACCTTCGATCGGCTCGACGCTGCCTGTCACTGTGTTACTGTGATTTACGGGTATATTCCTTCCGTCTTTGGTAGTTTTTGCCTGAAAATATTAGAAAAAACCTAATATTTATCTTTAACTGCACACATAAAAAATTTATGACGGTCGAGCTTCAACTCAAATGCATTCTTTCATTTACACATTACACATGCACTCATACAGGGTGTTGATTTGGTGTAGATGTTTTTTTAGTAGCAGAGCACCTTGTGAAAGAATTCATGCAATGAAGTACTGCCGCCTTACCTATTTATACCGTCAAACGGTAATGTGAGCATTACTGCATTCCGGTTTTAAAGGGTTAGGGTGGTGGTGAAATTACAGGCACATGAGACTTGTTTACTTGTGGCAACCTTTTTTTTTGTTGACAAGTCCCATATGCACCATAATTTTACCAGCACCATTACCCTTAAAAAGGCAGTACTTCTCCAGACGAACTCTTTCACAAAGACCTCTACTGCTTTTAAGAATCTTCTCTGCTGTTTATTTGCAATTTCATATAAATGGCAGATTGCAATAATTCAATTACAAAATAGAGCTATTAATAATATATTTTGATAGGCGATGTCATATATGATGAATTTTTGCTTGGGCTGATTTTTGAAATGACGCTTCACTTCTGTTTAATTTTTTTAATTTACTCCTAAATTAGTACAACAATAAGGTGATGCTTTTCCGTGCTATTAATTTGAACTAAAATTAAATATTCTCAGCTATGTAAAAATATATGTTTTTTTTATTGAGTACTGAAATTTTTCCGGGATTTCGTTAATTATACTTCTAATCATTATGTGTTAATGCAATTTCTTGATGTACATGTTTCCTCTTAATACATAATGTAAGAATTAAATAATAAATTAAATTCTCACCCTAGTAATGATAACATTGTGGCGAGTAAGCGAGGGTTGAAAGGCAGGTATTTGCAACAGCTGCATTATCACTTCATTGGCGGCGGCGACGTATTCTGTCTCCTGCGTATTCCTGGGTAATGTTTGTTCGATTTGGCGCTGGCACTCTGACCGACTGGAGGCTGAGGGATTTTAGGAATGAAATTTTACTATTTTAAAATACTATTTTACAATGGGATGTTTACGCCAGTTTGATTCGATTGAAACGCGCGTAAAACAACAAACAAAAACAATGTGACTAAAAAAAATGCTAAATGGCTTGTCTATTCATTTCAATTATCAATGAAATAGTTGTCACATAACAACAATTGACTAATTTCGTAGGCACTTTTTCAATCCACTTGCTCGGTTAAGCGGCAAGCCTATTGTTGACTCGTGCTTTGTTTTCTAGAATCAGAATATTGAAGTACTTACGCGATTCGATTTCTATATTCCGAGCTTTTTTTGCAATAGTAGTAGAATTACTCGACGAATCTGGTGGTATACTGTTTCTAATATAATTATTACAGCTGCGTTTTACAACTCTTGCTACTAAATTATTGCCATTTACAGTTTTCCCTAGTACTATTTTGTTTGGAATATCTGAAAATTTTAAAATGGTAAAAATTTTAAAATGGTATACATCTAGTATTTATGTACTTACATCTTTTTATTTTCTCACAAAAATTAATAATTTATTTATTTATTTCATACAATTACTCAGCATTGCTGCCATCGGAACGAACAAGGGCACAACTAACATTTTTGTCATAACTGACTTATGTATATATTTGTACTCAGGAAAAAAGACCAATCTACCCATTTTGTTTGTAGAAATATTTTGCAATAATTGTTGAATATAGTGCAAGCATCTGGTATGTATGTATAACATAAATAAACTACTTAATACAAAACGTATAGTTTATTTATTCTTTTCAGAAAAACCAAACCTATATTTAAACACATTTATCTTCAAATTTAGAATTCGCTACTTGTGCCTTTCTTTCTTCCGAAGGCAGATTACAATAAGTTACCAAGGCACTGTGAAATTATTAACGAATATTTATAGTAATTCAGAAGACAGTAAGGGCTGTAAGGGAGCCCAAATACCGTCTTTTGGGCCCCAAGCTAGACCCGCCTGCACGTGGTGCACCCTACCGGATAGCGAAAGGGGCTCTGACCAAAATGTAACCGAGTATTCCCTAAGAGGGTTGACGTCAGGCAGGCGGCCGGTCATAAAACACCATGCCAAATCCCTTTACAACATGTATTCAAGAAGAAGAAGACAGTCGCTCGTCTATCCTCTTACAAAACTTAAAATATTCATGACACACAGTCACCCATCAATTTGCAAAAACAAACTGCCGCCGCCGCCATTGCCAGTAGATTGTGACCAAGTGGTCGAAGAATCAATTTTTTTTGTAGGGTGCACCAGTTCCGCCCTCAATTCTAGGCAATCGAAGTCTCTCTTCATGACTCTAGGATTTAAGTAAATATTCGTCCAGGGAGGAACTGCCACTTTACCTATTTCTACCGCCAAGCAGTAATGTGAGCATTCCTGCGTTCCGGTCTTGAAGAGTAAGGGTGCTGGTGAAATTACAGGTACAAGGGATTTGCGTAGTGCAGTGCCCCTCAGATCTTTGCGATTTGAAGGTCTGAGCGGCACTGCAACTGTTACAGACAGACAGTGTCACTTACTACCAGACTCGCGACTTACTCGTCCCATCATATCATAAAAAATATATAATAAATCTACAAAAACAAAACACAAGACCCTTTTCACGGTGATGCAGCAATACATAAACGTATGTCGCAACGCATAGATGGCTTACGAGAATCGCGAGACCCAAAAAAATAAGCAGTTTTATTCTACATTCTACAATAAACTTTATTGAAGTAAGTTCTCAAGGTACCTTTAAAGCAATATTTCGTTTTTATCCTTAAAATATTGTTCCTTTGCACATCTACAGTTGGAGAAACTATTGTTGGAGTAGTGGGCTCTTTCAGGACTTCTTGAGGATCTGGTTTCGTATCAACAGCCATTACATTGCTTTCCGCTAAAACTATACGAATATAAATGATTGGCAAGTATAAGTAAGGTACACTCACTGTCAACATGATGTGAGCATTCAAACGTATTAACAACACGGTGAAAAAGAATTTAAGGTGCATTTTCATTTTTCCGAACTTCCGTTTCAATCAAATTAATAATAACAATAATTCTGCCGCCGTTCCTTAACAGAGCGTTTGTGACTAAAACACAAAACCGACAAAATAATGTATAGTCATAAAAAATGTCTACTGTTCTCTTCCGGTAACTTCATATTTGATCCACCTAGAAAAAAATAAAAATAGTGACAGATCAGCCTTTTTTTACTGATCACGGCAGGAGACATAACATTTTTTTTTAAATGTCACATGCGCCATTTCAAGTAACGGCGGCACAATTGAGGCTATCAGCGCAAAAGTGATGTAACCCACATTATTTTTTTTTACAACACCATAATATACTAATAAACTACATAATTATTTTATATTTGGATACTATTTTCATGTATAAACAATATTTATTTCATTAAAAGTACATCATTATTTTACATTTAGATGCTATTTTCATGTATATAAACAATACCTATTTCATTAAAAGTACATCATTATTTTATATTTGGAAGCTATTTTCATGTATAAACAATATTTATTTCATTAAAAGTACATCATTATTTTATATTTAGATGCTCTTTTCATGTACAATAAATTTAATAATTAAATATTTTCATAATAATAATAATCATTAAAAATAATGTGGCCTCCAGGCCCAAGCAGTATATGTAGAGCATCTCAGAGAAACGAGCTCCTTAAATCAAAGATTTATAGTGTACTGTAATATACTGGTAATACGAAAGCAACGGTGGCTGCTTTTGGAAGTACAAATAAAAGTCAACGGTCTTTTCGGCCTTTGTTAGTTTGCACAAAAAAATCGTCAAATATTTGGTAGGGTTCACATTTATGTGGTTTTAGTTGATTGATGTAAAGTAGAACGCCCGGTATACATGGTGTGCCCTTGTTTTGTTGCTGTTTTGAGCAAAAAATTACATAAATTTAAATTACAAAAATTCACAGGCACAAGGGACTTTTCAAACTTAAGTCTCAGTTTGACAGGCGCAGTAGATTTAAAGCTCTGAGGGGCACCGCAACTGTTATGGACAGGCGTGTCGCTAACCACTAAGCGCACGACTTGTTTCTTCCGTTAATTTGTCATCAATCATAGAATTATAAAAATACACATTCAAATTTTAAGCTATATAAAAATACGTAGAAATATGACGGTATCTAGAAAAATTCTTTAAAAAATATGGGTTGCGATTTTCATACACAAACTCGAATTTTTTTTCCGAAATAACATTTGTTCGAATTTTCATTACACCGAAAGCTGAATTATAACGAAACCGTTGTTCTTTCAGGATATGTTGGATGTTTATCGTAAAGACACGATTAAGTTCGGTTAGGTCAGGTTAAGTTAGGTTTAAAAGAAAAAAACATTTTCCTCTTAAAATAACTTTCGAGGTTATGAAAATTCAAGCAAACGTTATTTCTCGAAAATGTCATTTCGGACTACTGTTATGTAACCTTTCATATAAAAATAAGGTCATGTTTGCATGAGCATGAAGCCTATAATTTCTATTTGGTACATTATAAAGTGCAGTGGGCGTTTAGCGCTTTCCGATTGTAGTTTGTCGAGTCTTAGGAAGTTAACATAATATGGAAATGGATAGCATAAAATATGTATAAGTAACAAACTAAAAATGTTCCAAAAACATACCTTGTTCCTTGTTGTCTAACATATTATGTTCATTGTTTAATTCTAATGGTAATTCTGCTATATTTTCTTTGCCATTTAGATCTGAATTATCTATGACTAGCTCCACTGCGTCATGTTGATTTATTGTATTGTGTGTAGAATTTTCTATTTTCATTTTTTCTATTTTAATTGTCGATAGATTTTCCATTTTTATTGATCTGAAAATCGTTAAGACTTACTTTTACTGGCTATAGAATTAAATAAGGTCTGGATTTATCAACATCCAGAGAACAGTAGGGCCAGCACAGCAAGGCGCGACTTACGCCAGAGCGATATAAAACGCGAGATCTCTATGCGAGAATAGCATCTGCACTTTACGTGTCGCTCTTGCGCAAGTCGCGCCCACACGTAGTTGCAGTATTATTTGCAGTATTATTACTCACTTAAGTATTTTTTCACCTCATTAGCTAGGAAATGTTCTTTTTCTCATTAGAAATCAGCGCGCAAAGGGATTTTTTCCACGCCTTTGAAATTCGAACTTGACGATGAACTGTGGTGCACCTAACTTTTTCTTTCGATGAAAAACATAACGACACGGTCAACAGCGCGATTTGTCGTGCAGTATTTATGTTATATAATTGCGTTGGTATATTTTATTCTTATAATTGTTGACATTATATTGACAACGATAACTAATTTTGTTTATTAAAACTGATTTGTTCTAGTTCAACTGTTCTTTCATCTACCATTTTCCTAGCTACACTGAGGTGAAAAGCGGTGTGTTTCGCTCGGCAGCAAAGGACTTTTGCGTCTCGTGCCTTGAAACCCTCGCTACGCTCAGATTTTTATTTTTGAAGGTTCGGTTTTAGACTCCTTCGCTTACTCAGGTTTCAATACAAGCACTCGCGTCAATCAACAATTTTGCAACTATTATTTTCCCTTAGGGCCGATTCATATGAGTAGTATCAGCGAAACGAGCGCTTCCAGCTACATGAAGTTTATTCATAAATAGCCGTTGGTGCTCAATTATGCCGAAGCGCGATTAAGGCTTGTCGTCTGAACCCTCCCTTAGAAATAAACGCTCTTTCTGTTTATATTAGGGTAATATAGTGGCAGCAGCAACCGATGAGCACCAATGATCGTCATTTTTTTAAATTAATTTCTGTCATAGTAACACGTTTGTTACTGGTGCCACTTACTGGGTGTTCATTATTGGTGAGTGTCGATTACTGGGTAAATAATTAGTGGATTTTTGGTGTTAATTAATTAGTGGATTATTGGTGTGATAATGGTTTTTTTATGAAACATACTAACGTATAATCTTGCTTGAGGATTATCTCTGTCTAGTAAAGTAATCACTATTGATATATATTTAAAAACAAAAAAGTTATTTCAAATTTCAAGACACGCTTCCCTTAAAATGACGATAAGGTTAATTAGTCAGATGGAAAAAGGGCTCGTTGTATTATTCAATATAAACAACTTTTGTTTTACAATATATGGAAATTAAAAAACAATTTTTTGTATTCTCATAAAAATTTCAACAGCCGATCAAAATGAAAAAATCATTTTTTCTATAGGTAAGAACTATAACCCGCCCGAATTAACTGTGCACCTGGTGCTATGACGTCACTCTGTCGGTACGGTTTGCAAAAAAATGTTAAGTTCGCAAAAATATTATTCACGATTATTTTTTTTCAACATGCTAAGGTTTAGTTTTTATCGTTATGTTAGTTATGATAGATATAATAAATATAAACAACCAAATATAAAACAGGTAAATTTTATTATTTTTAATCTTCATCACTATAAATAATTTCTTCAACCCCTGACATGGTGTCCGAATCATCTTCGTTTTCGCTCTCAGAGCTGCTTTCTTCGCCTCCGAGAGAAATTATAAATTCCCTTTCTTGTGTTTCTTGGAGGTGGTCACTTTCCCAATAATCTTTTTCCAATTTTTCGACGTGTTCTATTTCTTTTTTCCAATCGGAAACTGTAATCGAATTTATGGCCTCGCGCGTCAGGTTTTCGATTTCTCTTTCGGACTGATCAATGTTTTTGTCTGCCACCCTTTGCTTCACTAAATTCCATATATACTCAATGGGGTTTAAGTCACAATGATAAGGTGGCAGACGTAAAACTTCATGGCCGTGTTCTTTTATCAATTGGTCCACAATATATTTTTTTGGAGGCTTATTTATGACAATTAAATGATACAGTTCTCTTTTAGTCATTTTTTCGTCATATGTTATATTATTGCTTCTCAGCCAGCTTTGCATCTCACTTTTGAGTGATGAACTCACGGGAGGCTTTTCTGTTTGCGTCGAATGATACGGCGCATTGTCTATAACAATTATGCCATTTGGCGGTAAATTTGGGAGAAGCCTTTCTTTCAGCCACTTTGTGAAATTTTTCGTATCCATTTCATGGTGATAGTCGCCAGTATTACTTTTACATTTATATAAAAGTTCAGCCCCGGGAATGAAACCATTGTCACCGCCGGCATGTACTAATATCCAGCGTTGCCCAGGGTTATCATTTTTTTTAATACTTGCGTCGGTACTGTTCTGCCAACACTTACTTACGGTATAATGGGAATGTATCCATGTTTCGTCCAAGTACGTCACCGGTTTTTTATCAGCCCCGAGAGCATTGTTCTCTCTTTTTTTTCTCAGGTAGCGAGCTCTCCAGGCGGCGATGTCGGGTTTTTGTATTAGTATTACTCTTGCATTTTTACATTTTTTAAATTTATAACCTAAATGCTTGACAACTATCTCCCGCAGTGTGGTTTTTCCACCTAAAAAAAATATATTTGTTAGTTTATGTTGGAATGGTCATTTCTCATATAATTTCTTAAATAATTTCAAGACCATTTATTTAAAATTATGAAAAAAAAAAATCCAAAGGTGATTTTAATAATGTAAAAATAAAATGTTTACCTGGAAAATTTAAATCTCTTTTTGCAGCCACCAATATTTTTTTCAATGTCGGTATTTCTTTTCTTATTGTGTAGAAGCTGTTTATTATGTTTCGCAATGCGTTGAGATCGAAACTGTCAAGTTCGATTTTTTTGGTGCTTGGTTTTCTATTTTTCCCTGGTGTTGACAATTTTGGTATTGGTCTTGAAATTATTGAACTTGAAGCCGCCATCGAAGTACTAGGCTCCGAAGAAACAGCTTGTGCTGCTATCTTGGCTTCGTTTTTAATTTTCATCAGTGTTCTTTTTGATACACCAGTTGCTGCACAAGCCCTTTTTATAGCTTGGTCTACAGGAATGACAAATCCTCTATTTGCCTTTTCATTCTCAAAGAATGTCAACACTCTCAATATAAAAGTCCTTGCTTCACTGTGAATAGTCTTTCCCATGTTGTTTTTGATACAAACATACTACTATACAGCAAAAACTTTTAACTTAACGACAACTAACAACAACAATTAAATAATATCAACTGACTATTGAAAACGCAGACACACCCAACTGTAACAAAGATGCTATCGCTACTAAACACTCAAGGCGAACGCGGGGCGCCGCGCGGTGTAGCGGGAGAGGGGTCGCATTCCAGCGAGGTGCACACTTGAGTCGTACGGGTAGTAATGTTACTAAACACTACAAAACGTAATTTTTTAAGCAACTGCTCATTCATTGTGCTGACTGCCCTGAGAAGAAGAAACTCAAGGGGTTGCTCTTTTCAAATAAACCTAAAGCTATAGAACACACTTTGAATCCAATTCGTGTGTAATCTAGAGCCATGTTACCTTTCCATACATCTTTATCTGACACGTAGTATCAACGTTGGCATCTACGTTAAAATGGGAAGCTTAAAAAAGTCTATACGTTGATTGTGTTCATCAGAACATTAAGACCATAGAGACCGTTTTATTATAACCTGTATAGAAAGTGAGCGGTAAGCCCGCATTCTATGCATACATATCTCAACCAGATTGAAGATCATTGTATCAAGATATTGAAGAGAAGTCATTGAAAAGGTCAGTTCATAAATATCCAGCATCTGTAAGATTGATGCCACTGGTAGTTAGGAGTATACCAAGTGCAAGTCCGTGCTTTACTGTCTACTGTAGGAACTATCTAATCTACTGTAGGTATTATCCATAGATACAGAAAAAAAGTGGGGATATGGTATGGGGGCGTGGTTCGTGTAGCCTCGATATGATCAAAATGATCATATCGAGGTGACACGCCTACAAACATCGCCACAGAGACATGGCGATCGTTGTACATACAAGATCTCTCGTAAAACGTAAAATGCCATCGTCATCAAATATATATATATATATGTTCATTTACGATGACTGATGTTTATCGACAATAAATTTTTACTGAAATGTTTGAATTTCTTACTATGATTTTTGTAATTAAAATCCCTAAAATATCGAAACGAAAAGTTAAATTGATTTATTTTATTATATTATTATTATTATTAAACATTTTATTTCGAGTAACTTTAACGCAACTCATATTTCGGACAACCGTTTCAATTTCATGTCAATCTGTATGTTGATGTTGCTTGAAGAAAAATGTGTATGTGTTTTCGATATTTAAGATATTTAAATTCCATTATACCCGTAGATACTCGTTTAGTATTTTTAATTTTTTCCAATGAGTTTAAAATAAAAGAAGGTTGGATTGAAACTGCAGGAACATCGAAGGATTGGTTTTCTTACTACCATTTCTGACTTTGTTTAAATTTCCATAACAAATGCATTGAAAAAATAAATAAAATAAAATCGGCTTTATTTTACATGTGCATGCAAAATAAATTAGGAACAATTATAGAAAATTACATAAATCCTTCATAAAAAACAACATAATTTAATTTATTAAATTCGTTGATGCTTCGAGTTTACTCTTGACAGTGACAGATTCACCAACCCGTGGTATAATAGAAAATGGACAATGGCGACGATCGCCATATTTTTTATATTATTCTTATAAAACTGACACTGGTCCAAGCCTAGCGGCCGCCATTAGAAAAATAATAATAATTTATATTAATACATTAATTTAATAATACACCAGTGTAGATTTAGTATGAAAAATGGAATTTTTATTAATATTAAAAACAGCCACACGGTTTCTAACTATAGATTAGGTAGGACCACATCCCTCGTTGAGTAGCGTCAGTTTAAGGTTAATAAGGTTAACAATTCACGGAGCGGTTTACATCCGCGCCCGGCGGTGCCGCCTAGATAGCGGTTTTATTTCAATACTCACGGCCTTACCCGCGTGCGCCTGCACCACATTGCGCGTGAACCGACCGCCAAAGTGCGCGGGCGTCGTCGGCCGCGATGCGCACAGGTCATCGCGTCCTGCGCGGTTCTACTAGTACCCCGCCGCGGCAACCGCGAGCAACCGTCACCACTATAGGCGTAAAACGCGCCGTGAAATGTGCTACTAATTTTACATACTTAACTGTTACATTCTACAGGTGCCGCCGCGGGACGCGGGTGAAAACCGCTCCGTGAGTTCTTAGTGTAACGAAAAATGAGTTTCAGCGGCATCTAATGTGTAATAGTGAGCTATTATATACTAGTAGCATTTTTACTAAAACGCCACCTGACGGTGAATGGCTGAACCAGGATGAAAAATTACTGAAATATTGTAATATAACTCTTATTCAAGTGACTGTAAATTTAATTTTGTTAAGTTTTAAAATTGTGTTATATCGTTTTCACGTTTTAAACCCTACCCAATCAATATCTTTAAGTTATGGTAATATCTACTGATAATAGAGCGTAAAGTTTGAATTGCACACAAGCTAAAAATGGCGACATCGGTACCTGATCTTACATAGCGTCATTACATATCTCCCCTTTTTTTCTATATCTATGGTATTATCAACAAAGTTGACGTCTTACCGCTTTAGAGGTTTTTTTGGGGTCAGTAGCGGCCACCGCAGCTTGCTTGCTCTTGTCAACAAATGACGTTTGAGAGCCATATTGTATTTTTATTGTAAACAAAAGGTTTCCACAAAAAAAAAAGATTCCAATCTCCGACTGCAAACAAGACTATTTTTGGATTGGCAAGGCTTCAACTTTGCTGATAGTAGGTATAAGTACGAATATAGAATAATTATTTACGTTAATGGTTCTTCTTGTATTACTGCATTTGTTTGGTTCTCAGCTCTATACTGTTCTATTAGATCTGGAAATATAATAACAGAGATCAACATATCATAACAAACTGGAAGCACCAGCGTCTAGAGTCTGTCTTTTTTAAAGATGGAGTAAAATGGAGTTCCTTGCGCAAAAGTGTTGCCAGCTTGCGAGCAGCTTGTGATTGCATTCAGCCGATAAATATTTTATCGACTGAATGTTGGTTACGCTTATGCAATAAAAAGCCGAACTTGTATCATTTGAATAATTTGTTTGATTATTGGACATGAGTTCATTTGGATTGTCCATTTTTGTAAGTCCATATATACATAAATTTAGAATTATGTTTTTTAAAAATATAAAGAGGAGACATATTTTAAAGATTTGCATTTTAATTCAATATAGATAATCAAATTTGTCAGTCCTTATTAAAATGTATACGAATAAAAACTGATTTCGAAACTAGTAAGCCAGTGGTTAAAATAGGAATAGAGAAGGCAATAAAGCAATTAGTTATCATTAGAAACGTAGTAACATTCACAATTCGGACATTTTTCGCAAAATGTTACCTTCTTTCACAATCTATAGATAAAACTGTCGACAACAACTACATGACTATGTAAATTTTATGAAAACTGGCAATCCTGCAAATGTCATTTCAAAAAGACAGACTATAAGTAGTATTTAAGGTTATTTAAGCCTGTAATTATTTGCTCGTGAAAATTTTGCGCAGTTATTGGCTGACGTAGTTATCTTTTAGGATACCGGCAAAAAAGAAAAATTAAGTTTGGCAACTCTGAGCTCTGTTCAGTAATGACACGACCCGGAGCGTCACAGTTTTTCTTAATATAAAAATTATTTTAAAGCCATAATAATTGTTAAATAATACTTACCATGATTAGTAGTAATATCATGAAGTCCGAGTGTGTTAAGAACAAACACTTTGTCATTTGTTTCTAGCAGAATCCAACCTTTTTCCTCTAGCATTCTGTATTGTTCATCGGTTATAGTTATCTGTAAAGTTAATAGAAATTTCAGTATACTTTCATAACTATATGAGGCAGTTTTATTTATTTATTGATATCATGATGTTTTACACCATCATATTCATATTTTTTTTGTAAAAATACTGCACTACTTTGTTATTATTCATATATATATCGCACAACACAAAGAAAAATTCCTTTGTTCCGACTGGAATCGAACTGTTGCCAGTAGCCACGCCAGGGCCACCGCTACAGACCAAGTCGAGTCAGATCAAAGGACTTTTTAATGTTTTTTTTAATAAGTAAATAAATGCGCATTTCACCTCCATCTCACCTAATGGAAAGCGACGATGAGGTCGACGATGTAGCATGCACACTTAAATAGTGCCTATCCACTCTCGCCTTGAAAAGGCCCAAATTGTAGCGTTCGGGGAATAAGTCTGCAGGCAGGGGATTCCACTCCTTTACCGTTCGTCATATAAATGCGGAAGCGAAACGCTTCGTGTGAATCTTTGGAATACCCACAACATAGGCGTGGAACCCCAGCCTACGTCTAGTCCCACGATGATGGAATGGAGAAGGCGTAATTAAATCATGCAATTCCATCGCACACTCTCCGTGATATATCCTGTAGCAAACTGATAAGCAGGCAACCTTACGGCGGTGTTCAAGGCTCTGCAGCTTTGCCTTTACCAGATCCGAGTCACTTAAAATCCTTTTGGCATTCTTTACTAGTGAATCCAGTGTTGTTCGACCTTTATATCAACAATTATGTGATGTTTCTTAAAGTCAATTAAGCTATTCATCATCAACTTAGTTAATACAAAGATCGAACATATATGTAGAAACGTTTCTTCGACCCGGCGGGACTTGAACTATGCTTTAAAAAATTTCTCTCTAATAGCGACGAATGCCGAAAGCTAGTACAAACATTTAAAACAAAAACACGTAGGAGAATTTCGACCGCTCGGTAACTTGACGTGTGGCTCATTTGGTAAGAGTAATGCTACGGTGCAACACACCCACACACTAATAATTTCACAAATATCTCAGTAATATAACCGGTTATGGTTCTTGCGAGTTATTTTTCGTAAATAATAGTAACAATATTAATAATAACTTACTTATTTTAAATATATCAATACCAGAAGTATCAATTAACGTAAGAGGCATTTTGTCGAAAATGAGTTACATAATCATTGGATTCGGAAGTTCCCGCTCTATCGATTGGTTTTATTAGAATTTCGGAATGCCCAGTGGTTTAAAATATAGCATGTCCCTTACACTACAAGCAGGAAGAGACGCTCGACGGTTTACACATAAAATATTAGTAACGTAAGGCACAGCTAAACATCTTTTATTAATGTTTTTTAATGTAAGGGACATGCTATATTTTAAACAACTCATCTTTCGTATAAAGCATGAAGGAAGAGGAAATTCTAAGAAACTTTGCTCTAGACACAATCAAAATTGGAGGAGACAGTAGAGTTATACACAGATTTAAAAAAATAAAATCGTTTTTTGGCTCTCCTAAAAACCGTGGTTTGTCCCTTATCTGGTATCGATATGCTAAGTAAAAAGGAAGAGAGAAGTAAATATAGCATATTTTCAATTACTTAAATATGTTGATGGATTTATAAACACAGCCGTAATTTGCATAACTTGTGTGAAATGCTCCTGGAATTGAATGACCAGGTGATAAATTCCTAGTTTCAAATAAACATCATACCTCTGTACATCCAACAGACGTTTTGTTCAAAATGTTGACTACGTCTATATCTTCCTGTGTTTCTGTTTCTTTGTATTGGTCATCTTCCACTTCTACCTGCAAAATTAATAAAGGAACTTACGAGCTAGAAAAGTTCAAGTTTGAGACCAGGTTTGGTTATGGCATAATAGAATTACTAGATTATTCCAGCCCTCTTTTTCCATATAAGGCTCATCTGTTCAGTGGTGAAAAATGGTATAGCCTGTAATAGATAGCTGTTATGGTAGAGATTGCTTGATTCATCACCCCGTCCCATTTTTAACCAACGACGTAAATTGTCAGTATGTCTGTCTGACTGAACTGGTCTTACGAATTTTTAAAAGACTAAATTTAATCGGAGTGGTTCTTAGCTATGTTTGAGGTACATTAGTTTAGCTGTATACAAAATTTTCAATTTTTTTTTAATAAAAGTATTGAGTGCACACATTTTTTTTTCACTCACAGCCCTGCACTAGGGAAACCCTGTATCGCGGGTGTCATGGACACGTATGTAGACAACCACAAATTACACCCAAACTCACGATAGAAATAAATCTAGGCCAAACGTGCAAAAAATGCAAATATTTCTCCCGGCCCGGGACTCGAACCCGGGACCTCTGCATAGCAGTCCAGTATGGTAACCGAACGGCCACTGAGGTAGTTAAATTTGACCTCCATTTCACCTGGTGGAAAGTGACGATGAGGTGGACGATGTAGCATGCACACCTAAATAATGCCTTTTCACTATCTCCTCGAAAACGTCGGAGTTATAGCGTTCAGGGAATAAGTCTGCAGCTCCTTTCCCAGTTAGTGTAGGGAATCTCAGTCATATATATTTTATACTTCCAATTGTCTGATGAACTTGAACTTTGATATACTATGATAATGTAATGACATTACAATAATATAGTAACTCCGATCTGATGTTGTAATAAGGACAGTCGGCGCACTGCTCAATTCTTCGATTACTAACAGCAGACGATCATGTTTGGGCTCATTGAATCGGTCTCGACGAGTAGTTACAGATGGTGATTTTTATCAGGTTTTTTTTGGGTTATTCCTATCATCAGATGCATCCCCTAAAACCGATCCTCAAATGGATTCGTTTTACACTACTATCTATTCCCATCGGATTCCCTTGTAGGGTATCAAAAATAAATATTATTATTTTATTCCCACCTGATACCCTGGTATTTACAAGCGTTTTTTGGTAGGTACTGTGTTACAGTCAACAAGAAAACTTTTGAAACTCAAGAAATAGCAATCGATAACTGGCACAAATACGTCATGACCAAACTTTTGACTGTGACTATCACAGTTAGTCATTGTTTAGAAAAACGTGCATTTTAAATATTACTAAGACTGATTTTTTGTTATTGTTTGATTTGCACTGTGTTAATGTTAATGACCTGTCATAATAAGAAAAAATGTTGCCTGTGATAATTATAACATTAAACTTAGATTTTGAATATTCTTTAAGACTGATTTTTTGTTACTTGTGATTTGCAACATGTTAATATTAATTACCTGTCATAAAAAAATTGACTGATAATTATAAAATTTTACCACAGTTGCTCTATAAATGAATTTTTATTTTTATTTTAAAATTTCTTTTTCTTTTCACTGTACTTAACTTACGAATACAACAAGGAGATACGTTGAGAGTTGCAAAATATGGAGTGAATCAATTGGGATTATAAAATTGGCGGTGGATCCGTTGTAGGGGATCAAATGGGAATAAGCCTTACTTTTAATTTAAATATCATAAAAGGTCTCACCTGGTCAGTGGTGGAGTCGGGCACTGCTTGCAGTAAATAACTGTTGCCGTAAAGGTTGCTTGATTCCTCAGCTGCTGGCACTGGCAGAATGAAATTATCTGTGAAAAAATTTCAATTTTAAAATTTTTATTGTATGTCAAACTATATTCAGTATTTCAGTATACACAGTATTCAAAATTAGTAAAACCTCTTGGTTATAAATACAACACCAAATCTGTTCTAAAATTGGATAATATTTTGTCAAAATTATTGTTTGTTATGAAAAAAAAGACAACATCCAATATATTATAATTATTGTATCTTAAACATAAATATGTTCTATGAAAGGTAAAAATTGAAAGCTCACCAGGGACAGAAATCATTTCGGCAGAATTATCAACGTCGACAAAAAACTGTTGAGATGACACATCATACACAGTACAGGGCTGAGCCGTGTCCAGAGCTTCCTTCACATCCTGCACTTGTGCTACATATTGAACTTGTCTGTTAACTGAAATAGAATAATATAATAGTAATAATAATGTTTATTTTCTCTTCCACAAAATACATATTATAGGTAGGAACAGTTTACAGGTTAGATTTTGATAAGGATAATTTTGTGGGAGACTGCTGCCTGAACTTAGCAAAAAAAATGCCTGTGCGTCAGGCCACCAGGTTCCCACCTCTCAGAAATACAAGTTCAAAAATTTTGACTTTAACTTTTTTACACTACTAGCACCAACTAGAGATATTGAAATGTCGCTTCACAATGCACAGATACGAACATATTAATGAGTTGAATCGAAAAATTTATTTACTGTTACTGACACGAATAAACTTACTTACATATGAATCATTATCCATACAACATTATCTTGCCCATTACCACAAAAACTATAACCCTGTAATACTTCTTTTGTTTCTCCACTTGCATCAGTAATTCGATATCATCGAAGGACATGAGAGTAAAGTAGAAACTTAGAGTAAAAACCTCGGTTACACATGTTTACATTTTTAATTAATTAATTTTATTGTGATACCAAGTGTCAGGACGAACGTACTGTGCGCCTGGTGGCACACCCTGTCATAACAGTTGCAGTACCACTCAGAGCTTTGAATCACAAAGTTCTGAGTTGCACTGTCATTGCGCTTGTCACCTTCACATGTTAGTTGAGAAATCCCAAGTGCCTTAATTTTTTTAAGCATTTTATACCTTGAATGTAAAATTCTATATGCATTTAACAAAATGAGTAATAATTTTTAAGTTTAATGGAAGCATGCAGTCTTACATTATAATTTGTATAATATATCAATCAATACCTTCCGTGTAAGTTGTTGTAAACCATAAAATAGCATTCCTTGTTTAAAAGTAAACAAAATAGAAATTAATGCACCTAGTGTTTTGTTTACTTTTAAACATGGAACCTATAGTATATATTAAGTCAAAAAGTAAAAAATGCTATTTTGTGGCTTACCACAACTTATGTAGGAAGTATCGATATTATGGGTCGTATTCCAGAACTCCACTCAATACTCAAGTCAGGACTTGAGTATTGCAGTGAGCACTGAAAATCATACTCAAGTCCTTGCCATTAGGGTCGTATTTCCAGTGCTTGAAATCATACTCAAGTCTGCTCAAATCCTGACTTGAGCATTGAGTAGAGTTCTAGAATACGACCCTATACGAGTGTCCTATAAGTTTTTATCCCACATTACATTATCCAGTCCTAATTCTACCATAAAACATTAAAGAATTGACAGGTTAGGGCCTCTAACAGCCTCAGTACAATCCATGAGCTCCAAGGGCCTCTGTACTTATAATGGGAGATTGCTGAACATTTGCTTTTGATATAGATTTCAGTATCATTTCATGTTTGGGTCACAGCCTCCATGTTATAATATCATCATTTACGAATATCAATATCAAAATATCAATATTTACGAATTCTGTATAGGTCTTCATACAACTCACACTATCTAGTCAAATACTGATGCATAGATATGTATCTCAAGCAGATAAGGAAGCGAACCAAGTTTGAAAATTTTAATCAGCATTTTACAGACTCTAATGCCATTGGACCAGTAAGTACTAATAAGTTAGTACATACATACATATACACCCTTTTACCATCGGGGTAAGCAGAGACAACAGCCTTCCATTTGTTACGATCCTGACACCTTTCACGTCATCAACGTGCATCTGTGCTTTCATACATGCTCATAAGGTAAGGGTAGTCTTGACATGGTCTTTTTTAATGCAGTCTTCCCAAAACGTCATTGCGCCGTGCTGCCCGTGCCGGCGCGGACTCACGTGTAGACTCAGGCCTGTGGCGTAAGCTCGACCGAACAAGGGACATGGCGTGGTCTATGGTGCCACGACCCGTGGGAAGCCGCCCTAAGACGTCCTCAATTTGGTCATTGAACAGTTAGTATCGGAATTGAAATTATTATATTAGCTATTATTAAACCCATATTACACAGACTTACTTAAAAATGTTCCATCATCCTGAACCACAAAGAATTGGTCCGTATCGCTTTCTGAATTTGCAGAAAGATATTCATACGTCTCGTACGTGTTCTTGTCCATTTTATTAAGGAAATTTCTACTTAAAATTTTCGTAAGTTTGCTTATTAACTTAAAATTGATAATCGAACAGTGCAATCTTATTATAGTCTGCACTAACCCTAAAACTATTACTCAACACACAATCTATAATGAAAGACAAGCTGAATAAAAAAATAGTTTTTATACGTTTTCACTGTCTCAAGTATACAATATTCGTAATTTAATTTAATAAAAGAACTGCTAACAACGAAAACGTCCGTTTTGTATACAATTAAAATTATTTTGACGTTTGCATGACATTGACAGTTTAATGTTTATTTTTATGTGATATTTAGGGCCTAGTAGGTTGTAATTTAAGTTTATATTCCAATAAAAAAATTTTTTAGAGCACAGTAAAATCAAATAAATAATAAGTGTTGCAAAAAGCCTCACAATGCACAGTACTTCTTAGAGCATAAATGTAATTTTTTAGCTCAACGTGCTCATAAATTGGAGGACAGTGTTTTCCTATTACCATGAGTTGGGTTACATCTGTAAACATTATTTGTCTCTTTAAGAAATCAGACTTATTTTCCATCCAATCGGTCAGGTTAAATTTATGAAATGTCAAATCACCGCGTATGCATTTCTTAGTTAAGGGAAGATCGTAAGCGCATCCATAATATACTACATGCCCATATGGTCTCAGCAGATGGAGCAAAACGTTTTCATGCCTACCACCTAAGCAATTGAGGGCTAAAATGGGTCTAATTAATGATGTATTAAAACAAGTTAGTTCCTCAGCTTCTTCTAATGTAAGGACACACGTCGCTCCTATATTGAGGAGATGTTTCTTTACCGCTTCGAAACCGCAATGACTTGCTACTATATTGAAAGTATTAACTCCCCAAGCACGACATAACTGTATCACACTTTGTCCGACTGCACTATTGGCTCCGTTTTGCACGACTGTTTGTCCTGGTTGTAGTTTAATGTAGTCTTTGAGCATTCTGTAGGCAGAACAGGGTGCTATAGAGAGCATAGCTGCATCAGCAAGATTTATATGGGGGGGTATTACGTAAAGGTCTCTTTCGTTGTAAATGCCGTAATAACGCCATGTTCCGAGTAGGCGCGTATTTAGCACGACTCTATCTCCGATTTTTATTTTAGAAACCAAGGGACCAACTTCAACGACATTGCCGACACCTTCATCTCCAGGAACGTGTGGTAGTTGGGGTAATATCGGTGTTCTTCCTGGAAAAAAAACACAAATAATTTGGTTTTTCACAACTAGCTTATTACTAGCTGAATACTTGTTGCTCTACAATACTCTACATTATTAATAGAAACTTGAGATCTAGCCCGGTCTTGTTAGGAAAGTTTAAATCGCAAGTTTTTTTTTATTTACGTATATCTATTGTTTAAGTAGTGTCTATTCTATAAAGAAAACTGCAAATTTTCAACATCTGAATGGCATGACTGTCGTCATAGGCTTCATACGCACTAAAACTCCTGAAAGTTTTAAAAACATAGGTAATTTTTTTGTATGTTTGACAGAGAACGAGGTTTCTGCTATATTATTTCGTCATGCATTGCAATCTATGGTAAAAGGGAGAGAGCAGCATCTTGCAAACCAACATGAACTCCGTCTGTCTATAGAAAAGGGACAAGTGAAACAACATTTGTGCCAAAACTGGATTTAACGCATTCACTGTCGGTTACGCATTTTTTTTATGATACCAAGTGACGGAACGAAGTCATGCGCCTGGTGGTAAGTGATACGCGTATCACTCGCGTACGCGTTCATAGCAGTTGCAGTGGCATTTAGAGCGCCAAATGCAACCGCGCCCGTCACCCTGAGATAGAAGTTGACAAGTCTCATGCGCCTGTAATTTTACCATTACGCATATATGCGTTCACCTGAATTTCACTCAGTGAGTGCCGTCAACGCATTATATGCTCATTTCAGTTCATACAATGCTGCTATGTTCGCTAAAGCACTGGTTGATGGTGGCAACATCAGGAGACTAAAACAAATGCAAGTGTTCTATGACTAAGAGAGGCTAAAGCAGTGGTATCCTCGCTCTCAAACTGACTGATTGTAGATATAAAAAAATAATTCCACTTCATTCTTGTAATTTCTATATCTAACTAAAAACATATTGAATAAAATTTAAACCCAAATTAAAAGGTTTTTGTTATAGCTAACACTCTGTTCGTGAAAACTCGTAGTGACAGGGTTTGTCCATGAATTATATCTAATTAATAAATCAATTATACACCCCTGAAAACTGTTGGTCAGTTTTTGTTACATTTTACAGTAAAGATTTTACCTGATTTCTCTCTCTTGTTAACCAGCTACAACATACTAATATAAAATATTGAATACTAACTTACAAGTTTATAGTCTTATTTATTTATTTGTTAGTAAATAAAAAACCTGGAAATCTCTAGTCAAGGTACTTGGTTCAATAGAAAACAAATCAATGTGAAATTATTATGAACTCATATTTTCATTTAAGGCATGGGTAATAGTTATTCAATCTCACATGTGCGGTTGAGGCACTGAGCAAAGTTGGGCCACCTGGCGAAAGTTCGTAACACAACGCCGGCAGTGAATGTGTTAAATGTACCAACCTTAATTATGAAAACCTGCAGTTTACATCAAGGTTTATTGATTTAGTGAGTTTACATCAGAAATATGACTCCACAGCACCTTTCCAAGTGGCTGTACATTCTTGGCTCTAACAAAAAGAGGTAATACATTTAATGAAAAAAGTTATCTGACAATAATTTATTCACATCATAATAAAACTACATACTGCTAAAAACTTAATATATATTTACATTCCATAAACCCCTTAACAGTAAGAGCATTGCCTATGGCTTCCAAATAGTTATCCAATTTTACCATTTTATGGGCTGGACCTTTTAGTTTACCCTCACACATCAGTGCTATTACATCTTCCATCATTTTGTCTTTTTCAGCCTTACCAGCCACTTCATTGTATGCTGTCATCCAAAAACCGTGGAAAGAAATGTTTTTGAATATAAATGCAGAAGTTGGTATGGTAACAGGTTCCCTAGACATGCCACCATATGTAACCATCTTACCAGAGTGCTCTAAGTGCCTTAAGACTTCAGCTGAGCTCTTTCCACCTACACAGTTCAGTGCAAGTGAAGGCTTCTCAATCTGTTTTTCTTTAAATATTTTCGTTGAACGTAACTCCTCTTCTGTAAGGACATAGGTGGCACCTAGATCTTCTAAATATTTTTTAAGTTCAGCAATATTAGGTCTATTTCTCACAATGTTGACAGTCTTTACACCCCAAGCTTTGCAGATCTGTATGACATTCTGACCGCATGCACTGTTTGCTCCATTTTGAATCACAACCAGACTATTATCCTTGACAGGAACAAAGTCCATGAGCATTCTATAAGCAGTGCATGGGTTGACAGTGAGAGTAGCAGCCTCCACCACTCCCAAATTGTCAGGGACCACTCTAAGCATGTCTTTACTAAAAACTGCTAAGTCTCTCCAAGTACCTTGTACAGGTCTTGTAATAATAACCTTGTTGCCTGGTGAAAATCCATTTACTTCTTTGCCAACTTCTTCTACTATACCAACACCTTCATTGCCTGCAATTTGTGGCAACTCTACTTTAACAGGATACTTTCCTACAACAAACAAATTACCATTATATCTATCATGAGTATATTTATATATTTATGAATTCATCAAAATTAAGAGAAACAAAATGAAACAAAGAATAGGTACCTTCGTGGATAATCTTGACTGCATCAACAAAAACAAAATCGCAAAGCAAGTAAGCAGCAATCACAGAGGTAAATTATGATCTTATGTCTAAATGTATCTGCAAATTTGAAAACATGGCCAAAATTGATAGATCTATGACTGGTACCTTGAATTGTGTTTATATCTGCCGGGTTGACGGGAGCAGCTAACATTCGTACTAAAACATCAGTTTTGCCAAGTGGTGGTACTATACTCTCTCTACACTTCACCACTTCAAGAGGATCTCCAAACTCACAATAAACAAGTTGTTTAGACATCAAGTTTCGCATTGGAAAATTCAGATTCGCATGTCTACTATTCCTGTATATAGCGTTGGACAATAGTTGTCGTGTGGATGTCAGTAAAATCATGATTTAGTTTATTGTACAAATATTTTTAAATTAAATTACAATAATTTTATTGCAAAACTTTTATGAAATTCATGCGATTCAGATTTTTATGGTTTTGACAGTGACGTTTCGGCGGCCAGTGTTGCCAGAAGGGAATAACTCTTCAATCTATAATCGCTCGCATGGTGGTGTGTTGTTGGAGATTTGTCGCTGTTGTGAAATTATATATATCTCGTATTTCTATATGGCTTTTAGCTATAGAGTCTGGCAAACGAAAGTTGAGACTGAGAAATAGCGGCAAATTCAAAAAATCTGCGTGTTGCAACCCAGTTTGAACTACGAAAAAATTCACTTGATACTTGAACAGATTTTTATTATCCCTTTGTATATTATGTAAAATGAACATGCATGTTTGCTTCCTGTGGTAATATTTTCTTATCAGAAATGAAAACGCGGACAAAACTACACAGGCGGAATCATCGACGGTGCTTATCGATGGAATTTATCGATACCTCACACGTAAATTGTTGCAAGTCAAAATATTTTTTTTTTGCTTTTAACTTACAGCCCGACCAAAAAGTCTAGAAATTAATAGGGGCGCCACTGTGGCTACTACAGCAACCCGGTATAGTACATCGCAACAATTTTGATACTTAGTGCCCGATGATATACGTAGTATAATATGCAGTATACATATAGAAGAAAGTATGTGTGTGACCATTGTACCTGATTGACTACAGTGACAAAAATATCGTAATATTTCGATCACATCAAATAAATCAGTTCTAAATTAATACTCTATTTCATGTCTAGAGTGGATTATGTCTAAACTATATATGTATATATATGTATTCTTTTTTATATAAATTATAATTTCCTTATTTAAAACTAGAAAATCACTTAGTATTATGTTTACTTTCAAATATGGTACCCGTAATATACATAAAAAATGGTTATAATATTTAAGTTAAAAAGCAAAAAATGGTATTTTGACTTACAACAAATTACGTGTGAGGTATCGTTATATTTTTATAAATTGATACTACTCTGGTAATTTTCGGTACATTGTAAAAACTGTGATATTATAATTTCACTAGTGATTTTTTTAATTGCACGGACTTTTGTCAATCATCTCCTTTTCATACTATAACGGGACAATCTTATTTACACCATAATTTCCCTAGATGTATTCAGTGACATTATGGACAGATGAGGTTTAGAGAATTTCACTAAACGATAACGCCGTTTATTTGTAAAACGTTAAAAGTATTGAAAAGGTAATATTTAGTGACATTATAATTAACCTGGTTAAACTGATAATTTACTGATAACTAGGGTAGTTACAATGTCACTGAATGTGCTTAGTTAAATTGCTATGTTCTGATTTTGTATAAAATGGAGACAATTCAGTAATGTCCGTGCAATTACAATACCTCTACTGAAATTATAATCCCACATGTGTGACAATAACCTTGAGACATATCTATGCATATAAATAAAAGAAATGTGTGAAGAAACATTCATTTATTTATTTAAGTATCATAATCGAAGTCACAGTCCAAAAATTCAGCCAGAAACGATTCTTCAGAATTACTTGTTTCACTTTCTCCCACATTTATCATAATTTTTTCCATCTCATTTTCTGTTATGTGATCCCTTTCTTTGTATTTACTTTCTATGTGAACAACATGATTTGTCATTTTTTTCCAGTCCTCAGCCGTTATGCTTGCAAAGCATAATCAATGCAAGCTCAATGGGGTTTAACTCGCAATGATATGGACGTAGACGCAGAACTTCGTGACCATTTGTACTGAGAAGTTCATCAGCTTCATATTCAGGACTGTGCTTATGTACTAAGCATAAAAGTTCTGTTTTCGTATGATACTCTTCAAAGTACGTTGTTTGAATTAGCAGTTGTTGGGGTTTTATTCCTGCGAACGGTGTGATAACTGGCATGATCCATAACTATTACACTAGGCTTATTCAAATTGGGTATAAGTTTTTGGGTAAATCATTTTTTACAATTCTGTGAATTCATATCATGATATAGTCCGCTGATTTTGATTTCGTACTAAATGATATACTTTCAATTGCACCGTTGGTTGATGGCCCCTGCCAAGATTTTTTGGGTTTGTAGTTCTTGTGAACATATGTTTCAATCTAAATAGACAATTTGTTTTCCCGCAGCACGTTTTGCTGCAATTTTTCGAAGATATCTATGCAGCAATTTCATAACGCTCAATTAACAAGGAACGTTCATTCTTATTTCTTTTTTACTCGTATCCATTAAACAATAAGATATGTCTAAGAGTTTCTCGGCGACCAGTAAATTCAATACTTGCTTGCAAGTCTACTAACAGGCTTCACAGTGTTGGAACTTCTTTTTCACAATGTAAAATTCATTAATTTTGTTGTGAATTGCATCAATATCAAATCTATCCAGATTGGAACTTGTGTGGACGCTTTTTCCTTGGAGTGTTCCATACACCTGCATTAACTATTTAATCCTTTTAAGTGTGGAGACACTAACAAAATAAGAACATTAAATATGTTTTAAAATCTTAGTGAGCAAAATGTTCTCAAAGTCAACCAACTACAGTTTAAAAACGGTGTGATCACGTTGCATACGTGATGCAATTTCTTCCAGGTATTCATTTTGGGTCTTTAATAACATTTGTTGTTCCACAGTTTGTACTATTTCAGCAACTCCTGGCACATGTTCCATGTTTTTCATTGAAAATATTACAAGGTTATCAAAAACTGTAAAATCTTTATATGCTCTGTTATTCAAATTACAAAACCAACAAAGTATCAAAATAACCCGTCATACTAACCTAAAAAGTCCAAAACCGTATGTAAATTTTATTCCTGTGTATAGTGTATTTGTTTCTGCTTGCAAACACCTTCCCGCTCCACTTGTTTTTCTTTATATTTAGTACATAATCATAGTATGAAGTAACTTTCGCACGTTACTTTTAATCGTTTTATTTATGATTGATAAAGCGACAATGAAAAAACTAAAAATATTTTTTTTTTTTTTTTAATTTGCACTCGATAATGGCGTACTGACAGTTTTGACAACAGATTTTAGTGTTGCCATCTAAAAAGTTTTACAAAACTCTTATTATATTCCAGAACTCTACACAATACTCAAGTCAGGACTTGAGTCTTGCAGTGAGCACTGAAAATCATACTCAAGTCCTTGCCGTTAGGGTCGTATTTCCAGTGCTTGAAATCATACTCGAGTCTGATCAAATCCTGACTTGAGCATTGAGTAGAGTTTTGGGATACGACCCCTAGTCTCAACTTTCGTTTGCTAGACACAAGTTTATTTATTATAATTCAGGCCAGATGAAGCTTTAAAAGATATTTCTTGTAGACCCTTAGAGGATGGAAAAAAATAATCTAAGCGTAAAACTTATGAGTCTTCGAAATTATATTTTTCAAACTTTTCCAATTTTCCGGGAATATTTCGGAAAATTACCCAACAGTACCTGCATTCGGTATTTTGGTTTCCATTTTAATACTGAGTGTAGTAACTCATGACAGTGTGTATAATCCCTGATGGTTGTATGTACTGTACGTCCAATAGTACATCTGTACAAAATAACCAACCAACAAAATTTTCTTTATATATATTTAATAGTAGAAAAGGTAAATGATACACGTTACAAGCAGTACCTATATCACATGAAAAATTCTCGTAGACCCAAATTATTTTTACAACAAAAAAATTAATATATATATAATATTTACTAATAAAATATTTTAATCTATAGGTAGCCTAATGGAAACTTATTACAAGACTACAGTCGTAACATAATCCATTTACTTAAGCCCTAAGCGTTTTATAGGTATTGTACAGAGTTGCAACTGATAACTAATATTTTCAATTACCTACTTATATTCGATTATATTGCCATTTGTTTATGGGGTAGGTACCTACTTAGCTGGTGTCTGAATAAGTATACTCCGAGGAGCCTACAGTGTTATTTATTTGAGATATTATTGGTTCTCTATACAAATTTCATCCTCTATTTCATCCCTTTTAAAATTTATTTTTGTGACAAAAAGTAGCCCATGTCCTTCTCCTAGGTCCAATCTATCTATATCAAAATTTATTAAATTTGGTTCAGCGGGTTCGGTGTGAAAACGTAATAAACAGAGTTACTTTCTCGTTTATAGTGTTAGTTTTGATTTGTTTATCAAGATTTCGTAGCTGGATTATATACGAAAACGGTGGTCAACAACAGTGCCCAGAAGAGACTAGAAGTTAATAAAAAATTTAAAAAATAGCGTTGCATTCCATAACGAAGTGTTAAAGTAATAGGTTGGTAATCACCATCGAAAGTAACAAACGCTGCGTATAATTATCCAATTGCAATGGCCAAAATCACGCGCGCGGCCGTTGAACGTCAGCGCTGCATCAGCTTACAAACTCAAGTCACACTAAAAACTGTTGCCCCTTTATACTCGAGGTTATTAGGTCATTAGACGAAGATGTACTTACTAATTTCACCAAATAAAAAAATACATTACATTTAATTAGCAAATAATGTTTCTCGTATATAATTATAATCAAAATACACAAATAAGCTTAAACAATTCAACAAAAATCTAAAACGTATTTACAACCAGTAAAACCTTTTGAAGTAAGGGTATTATTTAAAGCCTCTTTAAAATTATCAAATTTTACCATTTTGTGTACTGGTGGCTTTAGTTTCTTTTCAAGGATCATATTTGTAATATCATCTAGCATTAGATCTCTTTGCCTGGCATCCGCACGCATATTCCAACGAGTCATCCAAAAACCATGGAAGGAAATATTTTTGAAAATAAACGCAGATGTTGGACTGATAACGGGTTTCTTCGACATGCCACCGTAGGTGACCATCTTCCCTGAGTGTTGTAAATGCTTGATTATACCGAATAACTGTTTTCCTCCTACACAGTTTAGTGCTAAAACAGGCTTTTCAATTTGTTTTTCCTTAAAAATGGTCGTTTTGGGTATTTCTTCTTCGGTGAAAACATATGTAGCCCCTAAACTTTGTAAATCCTTTTTCAGCTCATTAATATTTGGTCTGGCTCTCACTATGCTAATGTTTGGCACGTGCCATTCTTTACAGAATTGTATGACATTCTGTCCGACTGCACTGTTACCACCATTCTGAATTACAACTTGTTTGCATTCCTTGACTGATACAAAATCTTTTAACATTCTGTAAGCGGTGCATGGGTTGACAGTAAGCATAGCAGCTTCGGCGACACCTATACAATCTGGTATCACCCTTACATAATTCGCATTAAAAGTGGCAATATTCCTCCAAGTACCTAGAGCTGATTTCGTGAATATTATTTTATCTCCTGGACGTATGTTTTCAACTTCATGTCCAACATCTTCTACTATTCCGACACCTTCGTTTCCCGGTATGCTGGGAAGAGTAATTTTAACTGGATATTTTCCTAAAATTTAAATATGACAACATTAGAACGGTCATTATTATTCCATATTGGTTTTGTTCTGATTATATTATAAAGTTCTCCAAACAACTTCGGTGCTTTTCCACTGACGAAGCGAAACAAGACGAGACGAGGATTGAAATTCCATGGCAAAAGTTCAATTCTCTTCTAATGTACCTTCTAATGTAAATGGTCTGGATTGTCGTGGATGTGAGTGACGAGAAGTGAAATATTTGTTGGTGTAATATTTAACCTTATTGCTGCCAATATGGAGAGTTTATTTACTTTGCAAGGAAAATACGATTCATGTGGTGGTTCGCGCGTGATCGCGATCATTGCGAGATTGTGGAATACGTACAATTTAAGATTTAAAAAATAAAGCTTTTTCCGCAAATATTTATAGAGTGCCCAGCCGTCGAATTTATTCAAGTAAGTTAATTACTCTATCGATGTTTCAATATTTTTAATTTACTATGCACTACCTCAGCGCGAGCCGCAGTGGTTATTGGCATCAATGGCGAGCTCGCGATAGCTATTAATGGTAATGTTTGGTGGAAACGAGTCGATGAGATTTCAACTCTCGCCTCCTCTCACCTCTTCTCGCCTCCTTTCGCCTCCTTTCGTCTCCTTTCGCCTCCTCTCGCGTCCTCTGGCCTCGTCTTGTCTCACAGCAAGTGTGAGGTGAGGCAAGACGAGGCCCACTCCAATTTTTTGGAGAGTTCGATAATATTTTTTTGTTTATTTATGTTTTAGAGCTGGGTAGAATTCAAATGTACATGCTTACAAATTGTTTAACGTTAAGTTATTCTTAAGGTGATTCTTAAGTGAGTAGACGAAAAAATTAAAAAATGGGTCTAATCAGCATATTATATACTTTTCTCCTCATTTGTCTTCTGAATCCTATAAACAGGATATGTTGATATTGCACAGCTGTTTAAAATTTGTTTTAGTGCTAACGCTTTGTATACAATAACAAAGTCTGGAATTCGACGCCATCCGGAAACCGCTTCTAGAGAGTATTTCACAGAGATCAGTGGCTCAGGGAGGGATAAGAAGGACTACATGTTAACTAAACACCACCGTTAGGGCGCATTTATTCGACACGAATTTCATCGCCCTCACCCAGCGCGGCCGCGTTGCCGCCACGCAGAGACCGCGTTCGTCTAATTGTCGTGGTAAAATACGCTCTATTAATTTAGCTTTAACGTTTTAACTTAAATGAGCGTCTCGTGCGCGCGGGCGAGACTGGCTTGAATTTGGTCTACGCGGCGACTTGCGCGGTTGTGTTATTCAGAGGAATTTAAATGTTGCTGCCTAGTAAATAGAATACAAATTCGTCATTAATGTACATAAAGGCGTGGTAACTGCGGCTTACTGATGCAATATAGTACTTTGCTGGTGCATTCCCTATTTTCTTACTAAAGTATTGCGCTTGTCATTTTATCTTTTTTGGGTTTCTCAATACATACTTGTACCTTGAATCGTGTTTATATCAGCCGGATTAATTGGTGCTGCCAGCATCCTGACCAGGACATCCTGGCACTTAAGGTTCTCTATCGTAACCTCCTGACATTTTAACACTTTGGCAGGGTCTCCAAATTCGGAATACACGAGCTGTTTTGATGTCAAATGACGTTCACAAATTTTATCCACATTCTTTCTACTCAAGTGTACGACTGACGATAATAACCGATTCCTGAAGGCAAATAGAGCCATTAGTCTCTCTCACGTTCTATACGTTTTGCTATTATGCTATTAATCCAATCCAGTTCCTTTATAATGGCTCCATCGATTTCCACGACGACTCTGCCAATGTCAGGGTTAAATATGACTATGTACGGTAGTTTTGTAAAAAGTACTTTTTTTATTGGCTTTTCGCGGTTAGAATTATTTACAATAATTTCGTTGATAAACCCAAAGTTTGTAGTTTGGGCCGCGCGCTCTTGTTGCAAGCGACATAGAGTTGATGTCGACGAGATTTTGGTCCTATACTTGTGATGTATCCTGTACACCTAACTTGTTCAGTTGACGTGTATTTCCTTTATTTTTTTTTCCATCCTCTAAGGTTTTTACCAACGGGTTAGAAAATAAGGTTTTAATAAATCCCGAAAGAGATCGTTTTAAGGCTACTTTTGGCCGTGTCGATCGTGTTAGCCAGCATGGTCCGTGATTGGTAATCTTAGCCGACAAATGTCCGTATCTTGGTTGGCCTAGGCGTTCATAGCGAGCATGTTGTCAAATGAATGTGGGTTTTAATTACTTGAATGATGATGATGTTAAGGTCACATCTGCAGATTCTACGAACGAAATTATAAGTACTTTTCATGCTTATTAAATTTCACATATACATATATACTTTGTTTCTTGTTTCTTTGTTACTACATGCAGTACGTATTATATCGTATTATATTTATCATTTTAATGTGACTTTATAAAAGCCGGGTACTCATTAGCGAGCTGTAACTGTAACGTGACAGTCTTATTTTGAAGCAATAGGCGCCAATGTATCATGATCACAGTGCAGATCAATGTATCATGATATTTCTTTAGCTATGTTGGATGTCGGAGAAGGCAGATGGTTACAAAGTTGGTGAAACCGTTGATCCCCATGAATAAAGATAATCAACATAATCATTAGATGTTACATAAACATATTTATTGTTATATAAAATAAAAATACTTATTAAAGTTTTGATTGATGGTTACATCGACTGTTATACGCTCATTACAAATCAAGATTAACCCGGTCTGCCGTTAAAAACCGAGAAACACGGAGGTCCAGGTCTTTTCGAGCCAGAGGAGCAGTGGCACTAGGTGGTGCGATGGCTTCTGGCGGGGGCTTTTGTAGTTTCGGAATGCGGAATCGGCGAGCGCGAGTTAGTTGCCATGCAGCACTAGTGTTTCTAAGACCGCCATACACTACTCCAGCCTCTTTGTCAACGGCTGCTAGGGCCGGCCTTGGCTGACTGTAAAAGACAAACTTATTTATCAACAATTCGTTGAATCATTCGATATTTATACCTGTTATTTCTAATAACAAGCGTGCAGTCACGGTTTGGAAAATTTAGTTCCGAAACCACGGGCCATAACATAAACAATATTAGACTTTAGTACACTGTAATTTACTAAGACATTTAGCTCCTAGAAACAAGGATGTAATTACAGTATTCTGTACTTACTATCCACTTGTGATAGATGTTCTTAAACGGGCTGGTGCAATCACTGATGGCAAATCGGACGTTGAATTTCTTTTCAACCCTGAAATCGGAATTATTTATTTATTTATGCTATAAGATACCCACTTGTAAAATAAAGACAAATTCTGTCAAAGTAAATTATACAGTCTGTTGATAAGTGTGTTGCATGGTAATGAAGATAAGCAGGAATTTCCTTACTTAATTACTTAATGGGGTTGGAGTCTACCCAAGTTAGGTATATCTACAATAAATTAGTAAGGGAGACCGGGGCTGGACGTTCCCGAGGTAAGTCCCACAGCAATAACTTTGCAAGGAAAAGATATAGTAATACATGTGAAGACCGTCGTTAAAGCGTCAAATGATGCGTTTTGCCGGCAGCCATTTCAGTTACACCGGCGACGACGGAAATATGGGTATTTGCGTGGAGTTGTCCACGTAACTTTTTCGTCTGTCGTTGCTTATTATAGACCGATTCATACGTAACTTTTCTAAATTATGGTAACATTAGAAAGGAATATTATTGTTTGAGTATTTTTTTATTGATTCTATTACTTTGCCAGTATGTCAGTCTTCGTATAAAAACGTAATTTGGGGCTATAAGTTCCTCTCTTGAGGGGCTGGTTGTTCCTAAGAACAACTTCCCAAATTGACCTGCAATCGTACCTAAAATTCTTATGCCCATTTTTCTTTTTTTTAAGAATGCGAAACTACAAACGGGCTCATGTCAAATATTTAGACAAAGATGATACAGTTACTTATGAATGTTACGCAGATGAAGAAATAAACAATGAAAGTATTACTGATAAGAATGTAGATCTTCTTTTTTCCAAGTTTATTTATACATAGCATGAACATTACATACATACAATTATAAACAAGGTTGTTTTATTTAAAAAAAATTTGTTATCCTGTCATAATGTAAGCTGAATAATATGCCTCATAGGCGGAACAACGCGCCCCAAAGCGGGGCTGAATGTTCCGCTCCGAAATTTGTCAAAAATTTGTTTCTGTAAAAAAAACTATTGAGATATTAGTACAAGTGACTATAATATTACGAAAAGCGCTAAACATTTGTTCAATATTTACAAATGTTGAATATCAAACCCTTCATTTTCAGTATAAAACTACAATTTATTTTAAAATCGGAACGTTCAGCCGCTCTCTCCCCAATAATACAAGGTGTAATGAGAGAAAGTCATATTTCGCAATTGCCAAATTCTTTTAAATTTACGTAGATTTTTCTATTAGTTTTCACTCATGAATTAGTTTATACCAGAATATTTGACATTATCAATGGAGCTGCGGTCCTTCCACTTCTGTGAGCAAACCGGGCAGACAGAGCGACGGATCGACCAGCGCGGTATTTCCGCCTGCTGTGACGGCATGTTGATCTTTTGGAATGCTGGAATCTCCAAGTGTACCTAAACAAAATTATTATTTAACTGATATAAAAAAGATCTAAATTTTATCAACATTTAAATATGGTTCCAAAATGAGGTTTACCGTATCTTCATTCAAATGTCTACTAGAAAGATATGTATAAGATGTGCATCAAAGCAGTCGACTTTAAGAGTGGTAGATACAAAATATATTTCACACAGATCGCACCCTTAGCTATTAAGCAGTAGAGCTCCTTGTGAAAGAGTTCGTCCAGGGAAATACTGCTACCTTACACAGTTCTGCCGTCAAGCACTAATGTGTCAGCATGACAGTGTTCCGATTTTTAAGGGTTAAGGTGCTGGTGAAATTACAGGCACATGACTCTTGTCAACTTATATCTCACGGTTTTTTAATGAAATATAAGTGCGCATTTGAGGCGCCGTATGTTCGGAAGAGTAGCCTCCTAAGACGAGTCAGTGGGAAGCCCATAAAAGGGAAGCTTACTTAAAATGCTTTGGTCGTTGTCTTCAAGGTACGACAGGAGACGGTCGTTGAGTACACGTTCCATAGTCTTGCAGAGTATGGAACTGACTGAGATAGGTCTATAGTTGACAGGGTCAGCTCTGCTTCCTTTTATGGCACAAGTTGCACGTTTGCAAGCTTCCACGACCTGGGAACTACACCAGTCTCAAGTGAGAGGCGGTACAGGCATGTGAGAGGAGGAGACAACTCAGGCGCACAGTTACGTAGGACTATTGCTGGAATTCCATTCTCTCCCAGCGCGATCGGTCATCTGGTATGGGAACAACCATTCTTGATGGTGAGTATTAAAGTCCCCCAGAATAACTAGTTGCGCCGCTGGGTACCTAAGCTGAGCCTGATCAGACGTCTCACTCAGATGTCGGAACTTGGTTGTCTCCTGATTTCCACTGTGCCAGAGGTAGACACAGCAGTACACTATTTTGTGTAACACCTGTGTTAACCAGAAGCCACAAAACAGAAAAACTCGGAGCTTCTAGGTTATTGAGACGCTTGACACAGATGTCATCGCGAACGTACACACAGATTCCGGCACGAGGTACGAACCTGTGCTTCGGAGTATACCCGGGGTAGCTGAGGTACGCTGCGTCAGTCGGACAACTGCTCTGCGTCGCGGTGAGGAACAGCAGCTGCGGTTTGTCGGTTTCGTGGACCGAATCGAGATTTGAGTGAAGCCCTCTAATGTTGGCAAGGTGCATTTTCAATGGGAGGACGTGCAACCGCTGTGAAAATTTTATTCCTTTTCTGTGACTTTTCATAATTTTAGGAGAAGCGAATAGGCAGTAGGAAAGCAACAAGCTCAGAATGCCACACGAGGGTACAATCCGCTTGGCGACCGCGGGGACGCCCGGACGCCGGAGATGGCCACCTGATCCTCCTTTCCAGTCGCCAACGACAAGGTGGAGCATTTCGGGATTTTTCGTTGGGTGGCGGGGCAGCCTTTCTCGGGTGGCCAGCAGTGCACCGTGCTTCGTATCCCGCTAGCCTACAGAACCGAGTGCTCAGTGTGGCAGTACAAGCAGCTACAACACGTCGTCACAGGCAATGCAGCTGTTCAGTCACGACTTCATAATGGCAACTCCCGAACACGAGTCGGAACACGAGTCGGAACACGGTAAAAACCATTTGGCGAATCGACTGCGTCGGGAGGGTTGTGACTAGCCACGGCCGAAGATTACCACCAGTAGTTGTTGGTCTTTAGCACCACTCAGGGGTCACTTGTAGGGTCTCAAGGATAAACCTACGGAAGCGAGCAACATCAACCCCCGGGTGACGGGCGCAGTGGCAGTGCCCCTCAAATCTTTGCGATTTAAAGCTCTGAGTGGTACTGCAACTGTTATGGACAGGCATGTAGCTTACCATCAGGCGCACGACTTGTCAGTCCCGTCACTTAATATTATAAAAAAAGGTCACATCTGCAAAGATTCTACAAACGAAATTATAGGTACTTTTTCATGCTTATAAAATTTCACATATGAAGTTTGTTTCTTTGTTTGTTTGTTACTAGGTCATGTAGTTCGTATTATATCGTATTATATATTTATCATTTTCATGTGATAAAAGTACTTCTACCGCGTGATCACATGTGACTTTGTAAAGTCGAGTACTCATTAGCGAGCTGTAACTGTCACGTGACAGATACACTAACGAGGGCCTAGTGTGTACGCTTTGAAACAGGCTTCAATCAGACGGCTCTCTGCGAATCGCACGCATTCCGCTCGCGACATACAAGCTCACGAACTACGTACACACTATGATTTTTGGTTACATAAAAAGCAACGATTACGGTTACAGCTCGCTAGTGAGTACCCGGCTTTAGATCAAGGGTACAATTCATAGACTTATTGTCTACAAATTAATTTCAAACGAGTATAAGAATTCAAGGAAAGAAGATACAACACAGGTAACAAAATCTTGACGTTTCTTCCATTTTTATAGGAGGAACACATATAAAGTAACGTCGTTACATGTCAATATGGAAAATTAAAGATAGGCAAATTCATAGACGGATGATAGTGTTTTTTCTCTTACCGGTGCAGATATGTTAGTACTGAATGCCAGAATTGAGGGTATATCCATATCGCGTCTCGTCGATATCCTCGACACTCGCGATCGAGACACGCTGCGCTCTGTCATTCTTACACTTAGACCATGTACACAGGCTTCGCTTGAAACGCTAGAAATTATAAAAATATATTCAAATCAATTTGGAAGTAATTTCATACTCTTTACGATAATTCTAAGGCTTAACACACATTGATGTTGAACGGGATGGTACAGAATTTTTGTAATAAAATTGTAACATAGTAGTAAGTTGATTGTGTTACTTAGAAACAAGATACGATACGGTAGCTGAAGGAATTCCCGAGACAGCGCGAGAATTTTCCGGCAGACGCGCGACCTGTTTTTTGACTCGTGTCTATTTAGTATATACGTTACACCATTGACATAAAGTAGGAGTAGAGCTCCTTGTGGAAGAGTTCGTCCAGGGGATTATTGCCCCCTTACCTATTTCTGCCGCCAAGCATTAAGTAATGCGAGCATTAATACGTTTCGGTTTGAAGGGTAAGGGAAATGACAGGCACATGAGACTTGTCAACTTATATCTCAGGCTAACGGGCACTGTGTTGTTGCCTTTCAGACTTTTGCGATTAAAAGCTCTGATTGGCACTGCAATTGCTATGAGCAGACGTGTTGCTTACCACCAGGGGCACGCCTTGTTCGTCCCGTCACTTGGTGTCATGAAAAAAAAATTAAGTCCATTATGTTGTAACCATAGTACAATTTCTTTCATGAGTTAGTATTATTTTTATGACTCTCAATGAGCTTATAATACTTGTGATCAAGCATTTTTGACGTTTGACCATTTATTGCTTTATTATATATTATTATTTACCAAGGATAGGATAAATCCTATCAATAGTTATCAATTAATTATAATATTTGGGCATAATAGTTTATTTTTTTATCAGAATAATGAAGTGGACATGTCCCGAAGTGACTTGTGGTTTCTAGCACTTTCTATGCTCAAGTAAAACTTCACACACTAAATTCTCGCAAGTAAAGCTTTGCATCGTTTCGCGAGGCATAGTTTTTCCTTGCACACTTTGGAGTAAAACTTGACTGTGGAGACGGGCCTTAAAAAATTTCCAAAGACGCTTTTCAAAGCGTTATATCCATTGAGTAAGGTGGCTTTTATGAATGATACAGTAAAAAAACAAGCCAAGTAGGCACCGCCAAGATTGGAAGTACTAATTGCTTATAAGGACTGATAAATACGGAGGGGTAATGAGAGACGCACTGGTCAATTAACGGTACAATTACTCAAGTTAGAAGTAGAGCATTCACCATATTCAAGTTTAACGATCAATAATTGTTGTTTACAGTTCAAATCTGTGTTATGTTTCTGCGCAACAAGTTTGCAAAGTTCCTACCGTCAGCGTTTTATGTATCTATTAATTAGGGTTAGATCCAAGTTCTTCAAAGATAAATGAGTAGTCCACTTGCAAACAGCGCTAGGTGACATTTTTAATGATTTTTAGTTAATGGAGTGAAATAGATCAGTATTTTATTTTAAAATACTTCAACAATACAGTGCCAAAATTTGGTATATTCTGAACAAATCAGTGTCAAATGTTGACAACTTTTGCAAAAGTCGCTATCTTTCTTAGTTTTACACTTTCAAAAGTTGCCATTTTGTCGTCAACCTGCAAACGTATATACCTATTTAGTATAAACTCGTGCAAAATCCGAGAGGTCTCTCGTGTTCATTTATTGAAAACTTGAACGTCAAACATTTCGGAGAAGATTGGTTTACATACGAAATTCTTGAATTGTGTACTCATATTATAGGGCATGTACAATCAAATGTGACCAAAGAAGAACAAACGACAGAAAATGAAGACACATTGATGGTTGACGACATGGATATAGGAGACTAAAGAAAAATTAAAAATAGATTCAAGTTGTATTTTTTACTATTATTATAAGAAAACTAGCCAAGTTATCATAGTGTTGTTGCAAAACTAGCTATGTTAATTCAGAACAATTACAAAACTAGTTATTTTAAGATTACTGCTGCAAAACTCTCTAAGTTCAATTTTTAAATGGAAATAAAGTAAATAATTTTATTCTGTGATTTTGTTTGTTCATATTGTTTATCTCTTTTTTTATCACAATTTTCAGATAATCAAAAAGTACCATTCAAAAATCCGTTTTCGGAACAATAGTTATTTTTTTAATTTATAGCTTTTTTATCAACGCACCAACATACGCAACGCAACATAACCCAATTAGCTAGTGGACTACTCAAATAAATTACTTGTGTGAATAGGAATGCGCGATGAGGAACGTTCATTTATTTGTTCTTTTTGATCGAGTTCAAAAAAGGTTTTTTTTTACATTTTAAATTATTTTTTTATGATACCAAGTGACTGGACGAACAAGTCGTGTGCCTCGTGGAAAGCGACACGCCTGTCCATAACAGTTACAGTGCCACTCACAGCTTTAAACAATAAAGATCTGAGGGGCACCCCGTACTCCTCCGCTACGCGATTATTCTAGCATTTGTGAATGAATTTCGATGATTCTTTTTTTGTGGAAAGAAGGTACCTCAGTAGTGGTCCCGTTCAAAGTTGAAGAAAATATTCCCTAATTTGATACCTGTAAGGGTATCAAATTAGGGGATGAATCCAGTTTATTGAATTTCACTTCAATAAAACTTGGCCAATTTAAGTAACAAACACAGCGAAAGCGGACAAGCAGACTTTTGAGGTCGGTTTTTTTTATAAAAGTTTAATTATGGTATGAATGGACGACGTGAACTTATGCTCTTTATAGTGATGTCGTCATCACCATTGTCAATCCTTTACACATCCGACTGTTGAGCTTGGGTCTCCTGGCCTGCTACGCAGCCCGATGCGAGTTGTGGACTTCACACGTTTTGTAAAGATGAACCCTTCAAAGTGAAGGCTTTATTGCGATATTTCCCTTCCGCAGTAATGAGGTATTAATGATACTAAGTGACGGGACGAACAAGTCGTGCGCCTGGTGGTAAGCGACACCCCTGTCCATAACTGTTGCAGTGCCATTAAGAGCTTTAGATAGCAAAGATTTAAGGGACACTGTCACTGCGCCCTTCACCCTGAGACATAGTTGACAAGTCCCATGTACCTGTAATTTCACCAGCACCAGCAGTACTTCCCTGGATGAACCACTTCACAATGAGCTCTACTGCTTATTATAATTAATTCCAAATTACCCATGGACGAACATCACTTTATACCCCTCGATCATTACATTACACCCCTTTTAGGTGAGAAACACAGGGTTTCCTGTGTGGGCAGTAAGCGCTAGTCAAAGGACAATACATAGTTGCTAAAATATTACGGTTCGCACTTTTGCTCCGGTTGACTTAAACTCGTAATTGTCTCTCAACGAGATTAAGTGTAATATAATGAGTACAATGACTGTATAGGCTTGATTCAGAGCAAAATTGTGAGAAAGTTATGCTTAAGACGTAATAATTGAATTGGGAGTGAAAGTAAGTATATTTAAGAAGGAAAAATTTCTTTGTCGTTGATATTACACGTAACAGTGACCTTTTGTTTTATACATGGTGTTGAATTGAATTGTTTTATATTTTACACACAAATCTACTGTGTTATCTAGAGATGTAAGAATTTATAACTCATGGTTGGACATTTGCGATATCATCGAGTATATAACCAGAAATAGAGACGAAATGTCATTTAATTTGTTTGAAAACTATATTCCGCCATATCGTTACGGTGACAACTGCGCTGCAATTGGCCAGCACGAATTAAAAGTCCTCGGAACACTACAGAGAGTGTTGCGGCGGAACCTATGAACAGATCCGCCGCGGGGGCTGGGGGAGCATCCTCTAAACTTCACATAGTTGAGGGGATGTTGTCCTGGCCCCATGGCCCCTGGGTAGCGGGCTTAGGGGAGTTCGCTGCCCAGGATGGAGGGGCTCGAGATGGAAGGCTCGTATGGTGTTCGACGAGCCTTACATTTGGAGTCGGGGGACCGTTGTGGCTCCCTTCTCGGGGAGGGGCTGCGCTGGACGCGGCCAGCCACTGGTGGAGGCGCGGACGAGCGATAGCGTACCCGTGCCTCTACCTGCTTTTGTGCGGTCGGGTTGCTCCCCTTCAGGGTTCAGCCCAACAAAACTTTATGACATGACAGCATATTTTTTGTTTTTCAATATTTTTTTTAATTGAATAGTATATACTAAATCTACCATGAAATTTTTAAATAATCTAATGGAAAGCACTAACGTGGCATATCAAATTTACAATTTTGAATTTTAATTAATAAACATTCAATTATATACATAACATACTATTAGTGATTGAATAATTATGTTTATTGATAAAAATGTGAAGGTTCAGGTCTTTCATTTCATACAGATGGTAGCAAATCAAGTAACACATTGACGAAATTTGTTCCATTGCTCTGGAGGCGATATTTGAACAAAGTTTATGGCTTGATTTGTTGACAGTGCTTACGTAACCGGTTTAATTTTTCTTTCGATGTTAAGGTACATGTATTAGCACAGATAGTATAATACTATACTGTAATAGGTATCTATTAACCACATAAAAATTAAAAATATGTAATCAAGTTCCTGTTTACCTCGTTAAGTCCATGGGATACCTATAAAATGATATGGTTTTTTTTTGTTATGTTATTGAATTTACACACAGTACAGTAAACCATATTTGTTTCTTTTTATAAACACTTATTACAAATATCAATTCTTGTGAACATTTTGTATTACTCAGTAAAACAATAGAATGACTAAACAAGTCGTTACTAAGCAATGTACACATGTCAAAAACACTAAAGCTTCCGGGCCCCAGGAAAAAATCCGAGACTCGATTTTCAAGACCCACCGAGACTCGATTTTCCCGGGAAAAACGACACTTTGGAGGCTATTTCAAACGTAGGTTTCATATTTAGAGACGAAGCATTTAGGCAGTCTACATATGATATTTTAATCAAGTTCTTTATCAACTCAAATTATTACAAAAACATATATTATCAAAGTTTTTTTTTGTTACCGAAAATTTTTGATGTTCCCGATACTGAAAGAACCAGGTTCAAGCGTCAAAAATGCTAAAAAAATTATTGAGACTAATTATTAATACAAAAAAAATCCTTCGATTTGACAGTATTCGAAATATCGTTAAAAACGCTAGTACGGAGTATGACAAGGAAAATATTTCATTACACCATATTTTAAGCAACGATTTGGTAATATTGTGGTCTAAGGAAGGCCTACTTTAAATTAAAAAAAACTACCATGAAGTTACAGGGTTACGTAGAAAGTGCATAATATGACTTTAGGTTTCAGTGAGGTATAGAATTATTTATTAGTATTTTTGGTCTACATTGAATTAGTAAAGTGATATCCCTCCGACCTTATTTATTTATTTATTTAAACTTTATTGTAGAATACACCGAAGTACAGATGGCCGACTTGATGCCATAAGGCATCCTCTACCAGTCACCCATTGAGTCAAACAGAAAAAAAACAATAGGTTGGTACAACACTTAAACAAGAAGAACAATATACTAGAAAACTAATCGATAATTTGTAATAAACTTACTTATATATATTATAATAATAAATAAAATGATATATGTACATTCATGTTGTTTCATAGAAAAACAATAAAGATGAGCAATTTATAGAGCTTGCTAGCACGATATGACAATTAAGGTAACCTTAATTATTATGCAAGCAGAATAAAAGCTTTGTACAATTTAAATAGGTCCGTCCAAGAGCACATCAAACGCGAGTTTTGCCTTCTTATTAAGAGCGGCATAGAGTCGAATTTAATCTTAATTGTTAAGCTTGACGTTCTCTTGATCCTGTGATATTTACAAGATATCTTACTCGTCGGTCTCCACATCTTCGTCTTTGGGCAGATTCAGTGTTTTTTCCGTAATCTTTTCTTGTTCTTCTTTGCTGCGCCTGCGTACCATGGTAAGCAGAAGCGTGGCGTGACCACCTAAGTCATCGACGCTATAAAAAAGGATAAATGTGAAAATTATCTGCAATGATAAAGTATATGATTATTAATCGTTTATAAATTAGTACTTTATTTGAGTTAATCTCAAAAAAAATCATAATAATATAAAAACAAAGGTAGGTACATTACTGAAAAGTAAGAACAGATAACAAGTTGCTTATGGATACCTGGAAATGTGTGGTTAATGTATAGAATAAAGAGCATGTCACACACAGCTACTTTTTGCAGCGATGCAGTTACTAATCGTCTACCTTTACACACGCGCGCGATTTTAAGCATCGATGCAAACGCGATGCAAGCGCGCGACTGCATCGATACAAATGCGCGACTGCATCGCTACACTTAGGATTTAAAGACGATTGCATCGATGCAATCGCGCATTTGTATCGATCCTGTCGCGCGTTTGCATCGATGCAATCGCCTTTAGATCGCAAGTGTAGCGATGTAATCACGTGACACGAACGCGAGTTTCCATCGCTATTAAAAGTCGCCCTGTGTAACGACTTTAAGATTTGAATTCAACTCTACGCCGTTTGCGATAAGAACGGTCTAAAGTGTCTAGATTGTTGTGCTCTTGTCTGTACCTAATCTGTAGAAGAAAATTGGTATTTTAAATCAACTTCTGCATGAAGGTCGAAATCAAATTATTAATATTTATGGTTTAAGAATTTAAGTTCTCAAAAAAAAATTATATATTCACTTAAATGAGAAACTTAAATATAGTAACATTACATAAGCTATAAACATAGTATTTGAAGATGATTTGAAGTTACATATACTGGGTCTTTTTCATTACCTGCCCAACAAATTGAAACATAAAGGAAGGTTAAAAAATTTAATATTAACGCACACACTCATAGCGCTCGCTTTAGGGAAAGCGTGTATCGCGGGTGCCAACGACACACACATAGACAGCCACAAATTACACTCAAACCCACGAGAGAAATAAATGTTTTAAAATTTCTCCCGTCCCGGGGATTTTGCGTGACAGACCAGCATGGTAACCGTTCGGCCACGGAGACAGTTATGTATATGTAAACAATTGACAGGCACCGCGAATAAAAGTGAAACAATAGAACAATACATTATTGAGATTTATTTATTTGTCGTTCATCAGTCAGTATATTCTTTGGAAAATAGGATTTGAGGAAATTGATACTGGCTAACGCAGATAAACAACTAACCTTATACTTTTATTGATTGAGCGAACCTATTCTAATCATTTAAAATTGGCGCTGTGACGTGTCACGGAAACCAACCCACTCTACCATACCATACTAAGTACCAAGCAAGGCTAATATCATTTGGAAAAGAGCTGTGTTTTATCGGTTAATATTTAATTATCTAGACGTCTCTTTATTGTTGCCATTGATTCTGAAACATGGATCTTCACTGCTACTTTTTGATGTAAATGAGTCTTACTCTACACAGTACATACTTTAATAAATCATAGCAATTTTATTTTTTGCGTCTAATGACCATTATGTAACAAACATACTCATAGGGTTCATTTTGGTAGTTTTCTTTGGTACGATACACAGTACCTATAAAGTAAACAGTCAAGTGGCACCCTTGTTGTAATAAGGTCACATATATGTAAAATGACAACTTTTTTGAATGAAATAAGTTTTTTATGCTTAAATAGGAATGTTATAAAATTACATATTTCTGACGGCCTCCGTGGTCGAGTGGTTTGCACACGGGTTTTTATGGTGTACGTGTACGCCATCTCTGAGGTCCCGGGTTCGATACCCGGCCGAGGCAGTGTAGAAACTTACTTTTCTATATTGTTTCGGGCCTGGTTATTTGTGGTACCGTCGTTGTTTCCGATTTCCATAACACAAATACTTGAGCTACTTACTTTGGCAGATCAGAGCAACGCATGTAATGTTGTTTAATATATTTACTCATGTACGTAATTTGTTTCGTCAAATTTCATGTGACCAAAAGACTTTTGACGTATGACTACATGTCGCTTTACTCTACTAAAGGTACGGAATCTATTTGATCCTGATTTTGAAAAGTAAAAGGGATCATACGCTACAGCTGCAAGCTATAGTTATACGTTATGGCAGTAAAATGGCGAAATTAAACACTTACTAGTACACTATGTTAGAACTTCCGTCTTTCATTGCAACTAGTTGATACCTGCTTGCTTTTAAGCTTTAAGACTGCCTTTTCACCAGAGATGTGCGACGTAACGAGGCAGTGTGCGAGAAAAAAATCCACCAATAGGATTACTTCATTTCTCTAGCCTCGCTCCGGTGGAAAAGGGTTAGCGGAGCTAAATATTTGTAAATACAAAATAGCGAGAGATGTGTGCGAGAGAAGTGTACGAGGAGTGTGTGCGAGGGATGGGGGCGAGGAATGCATGCAAAATAGTGTATGAAACTAGAGCTACTGAAAGTATGACACTAACTGACACTGACATATCATCACAGCTCACCCCACGACATCGTACCCCGTCCGAGCATAGCTGAAAAGAGTCCATAACGCATCCTCGTACCGCGCCGCTGCACATCCTCTCACCGCCTCGCTACCTCGCACATCTTTGGTGGAAAGGCAGCATAAATCTATATCACTAGCTTTTGATACGCTCAAAGAACGAAACATTCTTAAGGCGAGTCACTGGAGGAGAAGCGGGAAAAACTGTTTTGCTAGATCAAATGGTGTAGGTATTTACTATTGAATAATGGTTTTATAAAATATACACCATACACCTAAGGATATTGTCTAAAGAATACACATTACGCGATAGGATGATGTACTTTACTCGATCATATAAAATTCCGAAAACGGGATAAAATGCAGTCTAAAACAAATTATTTAAGAATAAAATATCCAACTGCACATAATTTTTTAACAAAATTTTTATATGAGGATATTTCTATTTAAATACTACAAAGAAGCTACTAAATTTTGGTTTTGAATTGAAGCCCTATAGTTATTATATCAATTATCCCAAAACTTGAAAATTTACTCAGGGGTTTAAAGACACGCCTCGCTGCTCGCTACCCTGTCGGTCGCCATCGGGCGCTTGTCAATGTCGGATCAGCGTCAAATATTCTCCGTCTGTCCTTATTATATTCATATTAATTTTAAGTGCACAGATTATGGCACCCGAAATGACGAGAGACAGAGACGGCCCCACCAAAACTCATCGCTTAAAATTTAGGTTCGCCTTCAAATACCTAAATTCATTGTCTAATTTTTGACATTGTTTGTATATTTATGTAGAAGTTCATATTTTTAGATACATTTTACAATTATTATCATTAAAATGTATCCATACAACTCTCATTGCATTTCAAATACTGACTGATTTATTAAATCCAATTCATGCAAATACATATTTAAAGAAAAAAAACGCTTTACACCTTACTACATATCAACTCCCATACAGCGTTAATTATAACTTATTTTATAAAAGAAAACCGACATCAAAAGTTCGTGGAGTTACATCTATTTGCCAAGTTTTATTGAAATTGGTTACCGGAAAGTGCGCGAAACCGAATTCATCCCCTAGTTGCCGCCCTTAAAAGTGGAATGTTTTCTTCAAATTTAAATGAAACCACTACTGAGGTACCCTCTTTCCAACAAAAAAAGAAGCATCTAAATCAGTTCACAAATGCGTTATTGTGTAACATATATACAAAAAAAAACAGTCGAATTGAGAACCTACTCCTTTTTTTGAAGTCAGTTAATAAATGAAATACGATTATGAGGTAACATTTAAATTTACGTTTAAATAACCCCAGATAAAAAGCATTGTACTCTAAAGTCTCTGTCTTTCTCTATATATATAATCTGTAAGTAAACAAGTCATAGACACCAATTTAATGGCCCCAAACACTATAGATCTATTGCAAGTAATTGAGGGTTGGGTAGTCAGTAGACTGTCCTGGTTACAGCATTAGATCATGGTTACTTAACGAATGTCAAGTCGATTGGACAAGTGGAAGTAATATATTAAGGAATTAAGGAAAACCGAGACAGGTAAGTCGATATCTCAAGTTATAGCTTTGTCTCTTATTTTACTTTTCAACCTAGACTTTAATGTTTATATTTTCTTTTATGTATGCTCTCAGCATTAATATTTATCGCTTCTGAAATACATTTTTCGACGTTTTAACTAACATCAGAAATATTAATGGTCAAAATCGGTGGTGAAGCAATCTTCGTCCCTTTTAAAAAAAGGGGGAGAGCTCCTTGTGGGCGAAGTTCGTCCAGTGAAGTATTGCAACCTACGTATTTCTGCTGTTAAGCATGTACATATTTCGTACTCTTGGTATAAAATAGCCATTACACAAAAAGTATTTATGAAATAAATTGTGTGAAACTTTATAACTTTTCTATTTTTTTTATGATACTAAGTGATGGAACGAACAAGTCGTGCGCCTGACGGTAAACGTCACGCCTGTCCATAACAGTTGCAGTGCCACTCAGAGCTTTAAATAGCAAAGATCTGGGGTGCACTGCCTCTGCGCCCATCATCCGGAGACATAAGTTGGAAAGTCCCATATGCCTGTAATTTCACCAGCACCCAGTAATGCTCACAGAAATAGGTAAGGTGGCAGTACTTCCCTTGATGAACTCTTTTACATGGAGCTCTACTGCTACTAATTTAGGCATAAAAAAGTTATCGAGTCATTCCGACCGCAGTTCTATCGTATCGAAGGCAAAATACTATATATAATGCTTGCCATCGTGGTGGCATTTGGATTTGGGTGGCAAAGGATTTGCCAATTGGCGCCTTTCGTGCACCCTTTTCCATCCTTTTTTTTATTAGATTGCAGTAGGTATGGTGTACCAGAATCTGATGGCAATAAGACAAATTTAAACGTATAGTGGGCAACATCCATTACAGTAGGAAAAACTGTACTAGATACGTATATATATTTATTGACCATAACTGATCTATCCTCGTACACGTTTTAATATCGGTTTGAATTTCTGCTCAAAGAAGGTAAGTAATTTCTGACACATTTTAAAATTTAACAAAAATATATCAGTTGCATGCAATATGGGTGCCAGATTTATTTTTCGTTTGCGGTTTGAAGGTTTACAGCACTTTAACGCAAACAGCATTTACGCCATTTATCTTTTTTTTTATCGATCATTGTCTAGACACTGGTCGGCAAACCAGTACTAATAAAAATTACATACCACATTTACATTGGTTTGGCTTCGTTAAAATTTCAAAGATCAAGTTTATTTACTCTTACTAATCGGCAAGATTTGAGACTCCGCTCTAAATCGTGAATTGTGACTTAGATGCACCCAATTCAACATTGATTTTGCGATAAACATTATTACAATGTTTTTTGGTTGAGATTGAAGTGGATTCTCAGTAATTATTGCTACAAAATCGTTATTATCAATTGAAAAAAAAAGACATTTGACATGTTAACATTGACAGATGAAAGTCGTTCGAATTTTCAAATATTCAATGCCATGACATTCTGGTAAACCTTTTTTCCATCATCTAAGAGTAAACCTATACTTTTAAATCTCTTTCCTGTAAAGTTGTCATTTTGCAGCTGTGGCTTTATTACACCTAGTAAGGTGCGACTGTAACCATATTAAAATTATATTCAACTACAATAAATTATCTAACCAATTTGTTAAAAATTGTAACCAGGGGTCTTGCACTAACTTAGAAAGTTGTCTTTCTTAACTGCCTCCGTGGCCGAACGGTTACCATGCCGGACTGCCATGCAGAGGTCCCAGGTTCGATTCCCGGGTCGGGAGAAATATTTGTATGGCCTGCATTTATTTCTCTCGTGAGTTTGGGTGTAATTTGTGGTTATCTACGTGTGTGTCCATGGCACCCGCGACACAGGGTTTCCCCAGTGCGGGGCTATGTTGAGTGTGTACGTTATATAGTTAATGCAAGACCCCGATCCTGAACTCGCGTTTTAACGAATATCGCTGGAATATACGTACTCGCTGTTTTTGGTGCTACTCGGCAACGTTAAAGAACTCAAGCGGGTTTCCAGTGACGTCGCCACCGACGGATCTTTCATCCGGTTGAGCTGGTTATCCCGCATCTTCTTTAGCAGCGTAGTATATGGATTTATTTTATAATTCATGAACGTTATAAGAGCTGTAGGGTCTTCTTCCTTTGGTCTATATAAAAAATGTACAAACAATAGAGCTATATCACACCGCTTTACTCCTAGACAATGGCATCGTTCGCGTCAGCAGTTATGATAACAAATATGAAAAACGAAACCATCACGTTTTAACTCCATCATTTCATTACAATACCTTTGCAAAGAGATCTAATGCGCAGCCATTTTGATGTTCAATTTTGAATATAATAAGGTTTCTTTAATGATACCGAGTGACGGAACGAACAAGTCGCGCGCCTGGTGGTAAGCGACACCCTTAGCAGTTACACTGCCACTCAGACCTTTAAATCGCAAAGATCTGAGGGACACTGCCCATGCGCCTGTCATCCGGAGGCAAGTTAAGTAATCCCATGTGCTTGTACTTTCACCAGCAGTGAAGTTGTAATGCGACATACCTTACAAATGTTGCCTTTAACGTCGACGTCAGAACAGTGGGGTCATAGTAGTACATGGAACAAAGACCTGCAGTTTTCGCGGCGGAATAAAATTTTTATTAAAAATTTAAAATGTTCAAAACGAGGTTCTACTTCGACAGACATGGTACTTGCAATTCTCCAGGTGTAATAGGATTTATGTACTACATAACATTTGAATAGGATTTACTATATTGACATTTCTATGAAATAAGATTTTTTTATATAAACCTCAGAAGACTGTATGGTTCTATTAACGGAAATACCACCAAACTCTTTGGTGGAATGGAGCAAAGAGCAAAGAAGAACGGTGAAATAGAATACGTGTACCAAAAGAACGGAACATAATATATTGTTTTATTAGAAGTGAAGTTATTTTCGGTTATAATAGCTTATTATTTTTTTCAAATAATCTAAAGTTTCGGACATTTTACAGGTCCTATGATCACGATACTTACGCTCTTCAATAATAACACCAATAACTCGTTAACAATGTAATTTACATTTAAATTTATAATAAATGACGCTTAAATATTTTTATTAAAAAAATTACTTTGGAAAAAAACGCTTAATATTTTCGTTTATGAATTTGTGCTATTGTGCACTGAGTGACCGTTTTTGGGTTTTCGTTTTCGTTCGGCGCGAGCACAACGTAATAATTTTATAGATCGGGATAAAACAGTTTCATTTCCATGTCATGAGTGGCAATTGCGAAAAACCTAAGAATTTTTATTACCAATATACCAATAAATTACTAAACTGCTAGAAATCGCATTAGCCGTGTCTAATGCACGAGTAAATACGGTCACAATTTCACTTTAGAAAACAACAAAAGCAGTTATGTGCAGTAAAATGGAATTTAAAATATAGTATACGGTTTGTGACTTCGAAAAGCTATAAAGTATTATTTGCTTGAGACATAAACAAAACAGGCATGATGACAAGTATGTATATGTATGAAACAACTAATTTAGTTCATAGAATTTTTAAACGTCTTTCCTTATTATATCAGGGATCCGAAATGCTTTACAATCTACATGCATATTTTAATAATGTGATAAGATTTATTACGGTGTTCCTAAAACTCGTAAACACCCGGAATCAGAGAATATTACAAGGTAAATTAGTTTTAAGCGATTAGATAATGAATTTTAAGGAAATTATTAACCGAGTTTCGTTGACGATACTTTATTGGTTAAGTAATAGAATTTGCCAAATTGTCCTACTAAATAATTTTATAAAACTAGTATGAACCAACGCGCTGATTTTAGTGACCAATCACATGAAATAAAGTAGAACAAGTAGGTGATGCTTTATTTAATTATATAACTACACTGTACAGTGATGACAGACGTTATTTGTATCCTGTACTACAATTACAAGGTTTAAAGTTTTTTAACGTTCTCGAAATAAATTCCTTTAAGAGAACGCATGTTACTAACTTGCAAGTCGAAGGTCGTGAGCGCAAAAACCGCAGAAAATCGTAAAATAAATCGATGGTAACTCAGTAAAGTGACGAATTCATGGCAACATTGAGGCTATTGTCGGCCTCACAGCTACAGTTGCTGATTGTATATTGTGTGGGATGCACAAATTGATTTGCCCACAAAAGGGGAGAATGTAGAGCTTAAGTGGTGCGGGTATTAATAAAGTTAACCGGTGGTTTCCCATCTTGTTTATTACATGGAGGAGTCGTGTTGGCGGTACACAATATTTTTTAAACACCACCTATTCACAATGGTTTTTATTCTAAATTTGTCTAGCTCTTTTTTTTAATAAATAAAACATTTTATTGTGTACCATATCGTTGGACGTCTTGGAAATAAATATTTCCGCTTGTTTTTTTTTGGACAAAAGCGTTCCAAACGTATTGAAATCAGACAATAGCGGAGTTGTACTCACAGTTCTATTGACTTTGGTGATGGCTTCATTACAATAGGTTGATCTCATATGACCAGTTCAAAGATGAGGCAAATTGCACCTAAGATCATAAATGCCTGAAAATTAATATAAAATTCGTATTAGTTGACAAATATACATGACACTGACTTTAACTTTTTAAATAGTGGTTAAGTAGCCAATACAAAGAGGATTTATTTAAAAGGTATCTAATCTTTTTGTATAATCGGTGTCTCAATGAAATTTCGATATTCAGATACAAAAGGTTTACTCATATAACAGCAAACAAAAGCACCAGCTTAAGTATTAGCAGCTGTAGAACTCGTTGTGAAAGAGTTCGTTCAGAGAAGTACTGCCACCTTAAGTATTTCTGCCGCCAAGCAGTAATGTCAGTATTACTGCGTTCCGGTTCGGAAGGGTAAGGGTGCTGGTGAAATTACAGGCACATGGGACTTGTCAATTTATACCTCCGGGTGACGGGCGCATTGACAGTGCTCCTCAGACCTTTGAGATTTAAAGCTCATTACAGGCACACGACTCGTTTGTCCCGTCACATGATATTATAAAAAAAGTTATCTAAATAGAGATAAAGATTATTCTTATGACATCAAACGATGGGACGAACATGTCGTGTGTCTGGTGGTAAGCGACACGCCTATTCATAACAGTTGCAGTGCCATTCAAGACAAATCGCGAAGATCTGAAGGGTACTACCATTGTTGACAAGTTCCATGTGGTTGTAATCTCATCAGCACTCTTTTGTTTCACCTTACACATACCTATGCTTTACTGCCCTCCGGTTTAGAAGGGTAAGATACATACTATAAATACGTACCATATACAACAAACTAAATAAATTATTGAATATATACCAATTGTACTCATGTAAATTTAAGGAAACTGTATTGAAATGGCTTTTAAAGATAAATCACAATGACTCACAAGAACTTTCGCAATATACCTCTCAGGTTTAAAATTGACCTACTAATCTAAATTGTATCTGTACGTATTGTTATCTACAAAAATTATATTCATTCATACTGTTATTAATCAGTCCATGATATTGCACAGGAAGAAAGAAACACACACACATGCACGCACGCACGCACGCACACACACGCGAGCACACACACACACACACACACACACACACACACACACACACACACTCACGTACGCACGCACGCAAGCACACGCATACACATACACACACACGTTTCATTTCAGTCATGCCTAGATGTTTATTATTTTTGCTACATTAAATTTTGTTTTTTGTCTTTGTTTAAATTTAGTTCTACTAAAAGTATGTCTGCGTTAAGGAAGAGCGGGACCACCTGACATAAGTATTTAATTACTAAATAGGTTGGTTTCAATCTCAGTTTGTAGTTTATGTGGACTGTATTTTGAATAAACATTCTTTGATATTTGATACTTTTTTATTGGTCTTGGCCTCCGATACGAGTCCTGTCTTGTGCGATATCCTCCCAGTCCTCTGCGGACAGAACGCTGTGGTCTTTCTTCACTCCGACCCTCCATCGGTATTTGGCTTTTTTCCATCTTCTAAGGTATTTGGGCCGACCAATTGGTTGTCGACCATTAAGGACATCCCATGCAGGACCATATAATATATAGGTACAGATAATTTAAAAAGTAGCAACCCCTTTTTGTGACAAATTCACACTAAAACCAAGAAATTGTTATAAATATACATTTTAATAGACACATTGTAAATGAAGCTTTTTTCTGGATATAAATCGCATATATTTATCAACTGAGTGACCGTAATGGAACTGAAAAATGAAAAAATGAAAAAGTTGGTTTGTTTGAAAAAAAAAGAAAAATTTCTTCGATCTTCGTTTCATTTCGAAGGTCTAGTTATGAATTGTTTCTTCCCGTAGTCCTAACTTCATGATCATCGAGATCATTATCCTCGAAATGGTTCGATGAAACACATAAATATCAGAAAACACATTACAAATACTTTATTCAAATAAATAAAAAAAACAATAAAGCAACATCAAAAAGCATTTATTTTGTAAGTTTGAGTGATTTTTATTGGACTTCGTGACTCTGTCTCAAATTAACCCGGTTGTGACCCAATCGATGTTGTGAAATTGTTTTCTCTATTCAAATTAAGGTATGTAATATTCTTATGTATTGGTGTTACGACATTGAGAATTAGAAATTGGGAATATCGTAAGAATAAATCTGAAAAATAGTACGTAATACCTTTATGTTGTATAGTAGGTATATTCTGTAGAGTTTTATAAGGGAAACTTCTGAACACGGATTGTACAAAACAAGATTCAAAGTGATAATTAACATTGATATTCATCATGATAACTATATCGACAAATATACGTTAAAAATATTCATCAAATTAATTTTAACTACAAAATAAAGAAGATAGCAATGTCGTGTCATGCGTTTGTAACCGAGAAGTATCTCAAAATAAAGACAAACCAAATCGTTAACCAAACATTTTCCTTCGTGTTTATTAGTTTTTCTCACTATTTGTCATTTTTAATCAAAAAATAAAGTGACAAAACTATGAATCAGCATGGATAATTGTCGTCATAATTATCAAACAAATTAAACACATTGATAATTTTGAACCCTGATTCAAAATGAACTTTGGTAACTCTATGCACCCATGTATATTATTTTGGGTATGTGTACCTATACACACATACATACTGACCTGTTACGAGTTATTATGTTCCCAGGTTCGTTACATTAAACATTCATTAAATTATCTTAACTTACATAATATCGCCTAACAGTAAAAAACCTTAGTTACGCATTTTTACATATTTTGCTTTTATTCATTTTCGTTGAAGCAAAATTTATACATTAAAGTAAATATTATGAATGTAATATCCTCCTAATGGCCAGCAAATTTGGATTTAAAGGCTTCTCCTTAGAATTGCGCTAAACGTCCAATGTACTTGAAATGTACTAAATATTCTATTTCTATTCTTTTATGCATATTTCAGACATATGCAAATATGCTCTCAGTTTTGTTTGAAGAAAGCAAACATTTTTTAAAGTGTTTTTCTAGATACCAGAGTCAAAGAATTATTTATTGCATACGTAAAATAAATTTACTCTTGAAAACGTAAAATTTAAGCTACTGCTCCTTTACTGCGCTGACTTCCCTGAGAAGAAAGAGCAAGAAAATTTAGGGATTGCCCTTTTCAAATAAATGCTATGGAATACACTTTGAATCAAATTTATGTGGAATCTAGAGCCATGACGTCTTTCCATACATCTTTATCTGACACGTAGTCTTCAATTTTGCAATTAAAATTGGCCCTATGGTCCTAACGCTAAATTTGAATGCAACGTGTTTATTATAATGTACCCTGGCCATTTACGCGATCATAGGAATAATATTGTCTGGGTCTGAATCACTTCAATAGCGGTAGGAGTAACAGTACAGCTCCTTGTGATTAAATTCGTCCAGGGAACTACTGCGACCTTGCCTATTTCTGCCGCCAAGCAGTAATGTGACATTATTGCGTTCTGATTTGGAAAGAAGGGTGCTGGTGAAATTACAGGCACATAGACCTGGTCAACTTATGTCTTTGTAATTTAAAGCTCTGAATGGCACTGCAACTATCATGCAACTTGCCACCAGGCCCATGACTCGATCGGCCCGTCACTCTGTAGTCATAGATTAAAATGCTAATTGCAAACATTTTTGTATTTACTATATTTTACACCATATTTTATATTCATCCTGAAAAATTGCAAAAAAACTACGTACGAAATGTCACTCGAAGATGATGATAATCATAGAATTAGTATGAAAGCAAACTACATTTAAATATTAATCATTTATAGTCTCTTCTATCTATGCTATTATGGAATAATAATATTATTCAATAATACGAAATAAGAAGTCAAGCAAGTGTTCATATAAACAGGATTACCTTGATATCTGTTGACCTGCAAAGTTGTATTCATACTTAAGCAAAGTTTGTGCGTACGTACGTACCTCATGTTATATACGTTGGATAGGCGCCCACTGATGGGATGGGAACGGATTTTTCGGTGACGAATAATAATATACAACAAAGTTATAGAATTACAGTTGAAACTACTACAATGTTAGGTCGTAGCTGCAAAAGAAAGCTGTTGTATGCATAGGGGTACCGAGCCGGCAGCCTCCGGTGTACCTCGGCGGCTTTGGGAATGCTTCGGCAGCCTTGCGGAATGCTTCGGCAGCTTTGGGGATGCTTCAACAGTCTGAGGATGCTTCGGCTGCCTTGGGGATGCGTAGGCATGCTTAAGGATGCCGCGACATAATTGCCATCAGTAAGCGTTTGCATGCAGGGATGCTGCGCCGGTCCTAACTCATGTCAAGTAAAGATTGAAGTTGAATTTATGTTATAGATTGACGATTAAGGATACACTCTCCATGAAAATCAATTTAGTAGCAGTAGAGCTCCAGGCGGAGAGTTCTTCCCGGGAAGTACTGCCTTATTATTATTATTAGGGTGGTTTCATTATGAGCCTATGCGGCCTTTCATCATTGCGACCATCCACTGATCTATTACTAACTACCCACCTTACCAGTTGCTACTGCCAAGCAGTAATGACACATTTACTGCGTTTCGGTTTTGAAAGGTAAGGGTGCTGGTGAAAATAATAATAATAATAATACCGCCTCTCCCATATAAAAATTGAAAATCATCAATCTTCAAAATCAAAATTAGGCCTTGGGAGAGCCGAGAGTCTAAAATAGATAATAATAACGCATACAGTCAACATAGCCCCGCACTAGGGAAACCCTGTGTCGCGGGTGCCATGGACACATACATAGACAAGCACAAATTACACCCAAACTCACGAGGGAAATAAATGTAGGCCATACAAATATTTCTCCCAGCCCGGAAATCGAACCCGGGATCTTTGAGTGACTGTCGACTGACTGACTTTGCACGGTAATCGTTCGGCCATGGAGGCAGTTGATTACAGGTCCATGGGACTTGTCAACGTATGTCTCACGGTGATGGGCGCAGTGGCAGTGCCCCTCAGACCTTTGGGATTTAAAGCTCTGAGTGGCACTGCGATTGTTACGGATGGATGTGTCGCTTACTACCAAACGCACGACTTTAGCGTCCCGACATTTGGTGTATGAAAAAAAATATTATTCGTTGATACTCTTGCTGCTCAGACCTAGCAAAAATGACTCGGTTGAGTGGTATTAAGCAGTCGTCTACTCTACACTAGTCAATTTTCGTGCTATTATGCAGCTATCACGGCGGCGTGTAGAGCATCATGTTTGCTGTGAATAGAATGGATGACTTTTTCGCAATATTGCGTAAAAGGCATTAGTTTTTGTTATTTATGGGAATGAGCGAATAGGCCAATGGTGTTGAGAGGACTGTATGCACTACACACACTTTATGAGTGAAGCCTAAATAGTTACAATATATATCACTCGCACCTGCAAAATAGCAATTTTTCAAGAGTTTGGAAATTCTACGAACGAAGGAGAGTTATACAATTTTATATACACATAATTTGTATGTAGTTCGTATTATTTTTATCACTTTTATGTGATAAAAGCACTTCTGACGTATGATCACATGTGACTCTATTACCTACTAAGCGTACGAATTAGTGTTCGATTCTAAATTTAATTCATAATTTTGTGTTAATCTTGCAAAAGTAATGTCAAATCATAATATTAATGGCATATCTAATTAATTCGTTCAGTTTATCAGGGAATTGGGTTGTCGGTATAGAGATAAAGGCTCCCCACGCTCTGGATCTTACTTGGTGCAACAAATTTCGTTGGCCATTCAGCGCCGTAATGCTGCCAGTATTATGGGGACGTTTGAACTAGGAAATATTCAGGAATATCCTTTTTCATTCTTATAACCAAATAAAAAATAACAAAATATGGCGAATTGCTTTATAATCTTATAATTTATTCATTCAAAAACTAAATACTATTAGATTCCTTTAAAAACTAAATTATAATTAAATAATTACGTTAATCCGCAACATAGGCATCGTCAGGAAGACACAAATATAAATCAGCAACAGCTTCGCTATATATAAATAATTGTATCATTGATTTTTTGTAATTACTTTAGTTTTTTAATTAAGAAATTTAATGTTTAATTTGAAGACTAGATTGCTAATTAAATGACATTAAAATCCAATTAAATGAAACTTTTTATGTTATAGTGTTCTGCTCGACAAATATTCTAGTATTTAAGTTACGATGCAATATCCGAAACGAAGTAAGCATAACCTAATGAATCATCAGGACATCTAGTACCGTTAGGTGAACTGAAAAATACGAGCTCTATTGACAGTGTTGACTGCCCTGAATACAGTGAAACATTTCGTGGGAGCGCCGATCGTCCTATTGTGTATATAGACTGACTATCGTTTATTTTATGTCGCAGCGTTTAGCGTGCGACAATAAGATGCGTTAAGTAATTTGATTTGGGCTGTTGTGGCGCTGTCAGAGGCGGGAGCGGCGCGCCGGTCGTGGCACCGAGTCTCGGCTGCTTGTAGTCGCTCATACAGCGGGCAACGGCGCACACGTCGCGTCGCTTGCCGTTCTCCGAAGTCACGATATACGCGCTCTTTTAAACAAATAATTCAAGTTTCACAATCAAGCCCATTCACAAAATCGATACTACACGGACCATTCGTTATAATCGAATTGCTTGGACGTCTCAAATTGCGTCAACGGACTGCTCACTAACCGGCTCCGTGACCATATGATCTGCATCTGACCCGTCCAAACTGCACTGATCTTTGGTACCGGTGCAGAGTCACGATGTCGATCAACATTTGAAATGTGCATTCGTGGGACTGTAAAAAGGTGAATCAGTGATGGTTCAGTGCTGTGACATGGTGGAGACGTGAATGTCAAAGTAAAAGAATTGTTTGGTGGTGTTCGTTGAATTAGTGCAATGGCAGGTGCTAGTGAAGATGGTGGAGGAGTGGATGACAATTCCACGGCAAGTTGTGCGACAGAGGGTGAGAACCGCAAGCGCGGTCTGACCAATTCCATGTCACTGCGCACCCGCAAGCTTGGCCGTCGGCTCTCCCGCAGCATGTCCATAGTAGCTCTGAAGATCCCTGAAAAGGCTCAAAGCATCACCCGTTCTTCCTCAAAATTGATGCGATCTGGCAACAAAGATAAGAAAAACAGATCATTCGAGCTCTCTATCATACTACCAGACAAGACGCAGCGACAGGTATGCACTAAATAACATTAATACACCTATCTTTGTATTTTTTAATTTAAATGACCTTCTTTAAATATTTTTATAAGAATATAATGTAAACTGTTAATAGGGCGAAGTCTTATAAAATGTATAAGTCCTGTACCTTGAAATCCGTAAGCCATAAAACGGCTACATCGTGTTATTCATTCCAATCGATACAAGCAGAACTAAAGAGGTTAAATAGAGAATTTAGCAGAACCAAAATACTACACACGTACTTATGTAGTATATTACGTTTTACGTACTTGCTTTTTCTGAGTATGTTTTAGAAAAAGCATGTAAATAATAAGAGTTTCAGGTGATCGTGTCCTCTGAAACATTCAGAGTATAATGCAAAAGTCATTACAGCGTAACATGTAATGATACCTAGGTAGTTTGTGATTCATGACGCGTGTAATTTTGTTTCCACAAAATTATCATAGTCCGAAAAAGTCTATATATAAACATGCTATAAGTAAAATTCATAATATACAGGTAATTGCAGGCAGGATTGCGACCAAAAGTCTTTGATCAAATGTGGCCATGTTGAGAACCTTACACGTATCAAAATCAATGTTGTGCATTCAAATGAATCTACTCATTGCAATTTGCCGCTGAGTATTGCAACAGTGTCGCCCACAATACTGATTTCTCCATTGATATAATAATGAGCTGCAATTGCCTTCATGTTTGAATCGGTCGTGCACTCGTGGTATTGTTTGCCCCCGCCATCAGTAGGTCCCGGGGCTTTATCTTACTGATTAGAAGGTATTAAGCAAAGCAATGATATAAACAACGAGTATCCCAAACTTTAGGTGTAATTTGGAGCTGTTCAAGAACAGAGTTAATGAAGTCAAAGGCATCTGTTCCAAACAATCATTATCACAAAACCAACATCTCTAATTAATTTAAATTTAAGATTTATGCTAAACAAATATAAACAAAAATATTAGACTAACTTAGTGCAACCTGTGGGTCAGTTACACGCGGCGGATATCCAGTATAACAATGCGTTAAGTATGCTGTTCCGACTTCCACCTTTAGAGAAACATGTAGACGATTTCTACGCTATCATGCGAAAGCGTAGTGCATCGCTACTCGTCGCATGCGTCTCAATACGAACAGCATCTTGAGCATATTGGTGGAAAGATGGGAGTCACCAATGCTGGGGCGGTGCTGCCAATGCGTAGCCAGTTGTCCTGACATTGGCTGTGTACATTATGTTCCCATCTTAATACCTATATATAATTTTGTTCTATATTATTATTTTAAACCTAACACTAGCTTCAGTATTTTTTATTTACTAACAAATAGTATGGATTAAGGTATTTGAAATGAATTGATTCTTATTATTATCAAAAATTTTGTCAAACTATACAGAGTATCAAGATCAAATCGCTCTCTTATTCAGCAATCTATTATAAGTTCAAATGAGGCTTGAGATTTCTTGCAAGCAGTGACCAATTGTTCAACTGTCGGGCAGCTGGATGCAAACCGATTACTGCCAACATCGGTTCTACCACATTTCTGATTTGTCTCTGCATCGTTGTAGGTAACAATAGCTTGTGTTCGTGAGCCTTGGCAACGGATTTTAAACCTCGAGGCATCATTCTGCTTTACTTTTACTGCATAATAAACTAAATTCATAATAATTTAGACGATTACATGTAACTAACGCACCTTTGGTGCAATTAGGTTATATTTGCAAACTGACAATTTTTCAGAAGAGAGGTTTAAAGATTGTACGAACGAAATTAGTCGAATTTTTTTATGCTTAAAAATACCAATTAAATTTCACATTATGTACACAATTTGTTTCACATTCTTAGTTCGTATTAGTTTTATGACTGTCAAGTGATAAAAGCAGTTTTGACGTATGATCACACGTTGTTTAGGTTATAATAATACAGGCGGGCAGGTGTTATGTTTTAGGAGAACGTTTGGCAGTGGACCTTAAAAGTGCACCGCTCCTTTTTCACGGTTTTTGGTGCACGATTTGGGCTAATGTCCAATAAGAAATGCACGTGTTTATTTGGATTTGAATCCCTCTAAAGAACTCTATTTACACTATCTTCTTGAGCATGTATATGGTTTCACTGCTCACGATCGTTAACGTGACTTATAATAACTAACACACGCTGTATAACGATACTTATACCTGTAACTGAAACTGAGTTTGTTTGCCACAGTGCGGTTGAAGATCACCAAGCAATTACGTTTTTTTTATTCGCTTATACTTCTTCCACCGAGGTCAGGACATCTGTTCCGTTCAGCAATTAATTTCATTAAATCGGTAATCACTAATTAACTTGGTAACATTGAGATCGACTACCGGATTCGATTTTTTTTATAATCAGTATGTATGTAAATTATGTTATATATGGTAAATTCCCAACTCTATTCTCATTGCTACATGTATTCGTGTATTTTTTGTCATTCGTTCGCATCATTAGACGACGACAGCGACAATAATTGTTTTTCTTTTGTTTTATTTTTTGTTCATGACTACTAGAGACTATCTGGTCCTACAAAATTTCCAAGCTTACCTTAATGATATGTTACCGCAATATCGAACCTTCACCTTACCTAAGTCGAATTGTCTTAATTTCTTTAACAAAGCTTCAGTAAATGTGGGTGGTATGAATGCTTTACTGTTTTTGTGACTTTAACAACACAATACAAAGGACATTGAGTCTTTGTCAAAAGTAATACAATCGTTAATAGAACGTTGTTCAAAATATGAACTGCACAATGGTTCTACGTGATGAGCTTTCTAACTTATGTTTTGATCTAGATCTATGAAGATGTTCGATGTATCCCAGGCGTAGTATTTTGTATCTTATATCTCTAACATTAGCCACACCCACATACAAAATCTTGATAATGAAGTAATCTCACTTGTTCGCAACGAGGAAGCCGCCTACGGACTGCATTCTGTACCTGATACAAGAGATGAGGATTGAGGAAATTACAAATAAAGACAGATTCATTGTCTCAAGGAAGTTTTTTGACCTGAGCAAGGAACGGCACAATGAATTCAATTAGGACACAACAGTTGTAAATATGGCGAAGTTTAAAGAATTGCGAAGTGAAAGTGATGTCGCAACTAACGAGCGCTTAGCAAGTCACACGCGTGTGCGGCCTCCAGTAGCCCGTCAATTACGCGCTACATGTGGTACCATAGTCAAACATCGTTTAGTACACTCTACAAAATATGTACATAAGACTAACCTCGATACAAGCACCGGTTACACTTTGATTAGGTGACGATTGAAAAGTTGGCACAAAGTGAAAACGGGTTAGAACAATTTGTGCAACCCATTTACATTTGTGTAATGGATTACTTCTAAGTATTTTTCAGATGCTTTTGTAAGAATATCATTGACTTTGTTAAAGTCAAATTTTAACTAAGCAAATAGCTATTTTTCTTTGGAAAGGTACTCAGGAATTGATAGACCTATTATTTTTGTGTACTTTCTTTATAAGGTTAGTTTTTATTTGGTGTTTTAATGATATTTGTAAACACTTGCTTCTTCTGTGTAAGTTTCGCATTCTATACTGTCACTATATTATATAGCTTCTAGAAGATTGTTGTTATTATTTGTCTTTACATTAGATCATATCGACACGTATCATAACAGACTGTCGAATATAAAAATTAAACTGTGTGTCATTTTGCATTCGATGACTTCGTATTGCATAACACCGCCAGCATTTATACATACAGTGGACGCATTAAAAATAATTACAGCTCTATAGCTCTTCTATAAGCAGTAATTGTAGATACTTTTGCTTTCCTAAAGAAAAGTCAGTGGCATAATGTAAATAATTGAACAAATACGGAGTGGTCTACTCTAAGTAAAGACTAGAAAGTGATTCTAATTATCCTCTGCAGATGCATGAATTGGTCCGAGTGAGAATTTATGTATGGAAAGAAATATAAATAAGGATGACTCTAGAGTGGGAATGGACGCGGATAAGGCAGGGTCTTGTTTCGATGGCTATCACTTTTCTATATGTGAAGTAGAAGCAAACCGGTCGGGATGTCTACGAATGCGAACTTTGCTGCGTGTGCGCATAGGTCGTTCGGGCATTGGACGTCGCGATCTCAAATATTTGCGAGGAAAGAATCTGAGACTCGGTATGTACCTATAGCAATGTATACGATATATCAGCTACTGTTTTTTATTTTTTTTCTGTTTCTGTCTGTTTAACTGCACAATGCAATTTTATTACTAAAATCTTCAAAGCGATCCGGGTAACATCGAAGAGCTGGTCATAGAGAACAAAGTTTAAGTGGAGCAAAAATACCATAAAGGTCATAAACAAATTTAATAAAACTTATACAGATTTCTAAAAAAAATCATAATTCGATAGTGATTGAAGATCTTGGCCTTCAACAATAGAGCATGTGACAAAAGAGAAGAATATAATACACCGATATTTTAGAGTCTACTCTAAAGTGCGTAAAAGCCAAACTGCAAAGTTTGCGAAACGAGTGAAAGACAATAGTTTGTAAACGACCTGGTTCATATCTTATTCATTTAACTGTCTCCGTGGCCGAACGGTTACCATGCCGGACTACCACGCAGAAGTCCCAGGTTCGATTCCCGGGCCGGGAGAAATATTTGTATGGCATACAATTATTTCTCTCGTGAGTTTGGGTGTAATTTGTGGTTGTCTATATGTGTGTCCATGACACCTGCGACACAGGGTTTCCCTAGTGCGGGGCTATGTTGAGTGTGTGCGTTATTTATTTATTTTTAAACCTATGTCTATGTAAAAAAGCGAATTTTATTGAATAAGAACTCTTGAGCAGACTTATCGACAAAGCATGAAATTTTAACCCATACATCAATAAGTAATTAATCATCGATAAAAATTAGTTTTTATACCATTTCTTCTCCGACGTACTAATACAAATCTATTAGTTAGTACAATTACACAACACTAGTAAATACAGGATTAATAATTGTATTTTCGATCATCAT